GAGACTATACCCTCTTAGTACTTGATGCATATGTCATGCTTGTTTTACTATTTCACCAAATGATACTCAAATGTCATCCTGCATGCTTCACTGAAATGCTTGTCTACTATTTCATCAAACGTCCTTATGCCATCCTGTATGCTCCACTGAAATGAATAAAAATATTGAAAAAAACCCCCCAAAAAACAAACAAAAAACAAAACAAAAAACCCATTAACTTAGGGCTATCTTAGCGCTAATAGAGCTCCAAAAATCTAGGCCCAGATAACCACGTGTCATGTGTATCGCCCTAACGCACCCAGTGGCGTCCTGTTGGATACCGTCAGATCGGGAAAGATTGGGTGAGGTGAGATTGGGTTTAACGTCGGGCTTGGGAATATTTCGCTCATATGACGACGTGCATGCGTGTGTATGTGTATGTGCGGCTGCTTGTACTAGCCCAGACTTAAGCTGGTTTTATAGTGCTAGCCCACTGAGTGCACGCCGCAGTGAAGCATGAATACCCCACTCAGACACATTATACTGACTCCGAGCCGACCAGTCCTTGTTGTACCCATTAATGTCAAGCGCCAAGCAGGGACCAATAAGTACCATATTTTCACGTCTTTTGGTATGACGCGGTCGGGGATCGAACCCGCGACCTTCCGCTCTCCGGGCGGACGCTCTAACCACTACACCACGGAGGCGGTCCGGGATAGATTGGGAAGTGTGGTGGATGTGATGCTGGGGTTAACGCCGCTTTAAACAGTCGCAGACTCATATCAGGACGTCTCTGCTATATGTGGGAGGAAATCCTGAAGTAATGCAGGTCATAAAGTTTTACCACCCATGTAAAACCTATATGTATGGTGCCCACAAACCTATATACCTACATAATGAGGGCGAACTGGGATTCGAACCCACGATCCTAAAATACTAAGAATGGCAGCTAAGAGTATAAAATAATTCATCATACTATGAAGTGCAATTTGATGAGACTCTTCAGAAAGCCAAGAGTTAATATCCAAAATATAACATGATAAATTTTGGCATAGTGGTTTGTAAAGTGACAGTGCATCCGAATTGTAAAACCTGCCAAAATACAGATTTGTTTGATAATTGCTTTCAGGGAAAGTGAATAATTCCGGTGATAAATATCGCGAAAATGTCAAATACCTTCTGGATTCAACAACACAAGTAGCCTATCTACACGTATACCACATCCAAACCTGCACACATTCACTCACACAGTAACAGCGTCAGTACTGATTTCACAGTCATTTCCACATGCGTAAAGATAAACGTTACCTTCCTCTCATTGGATTACATCATTCATTAGCTGTTCCATGCTAAATACCTGACTGTTTTCAAAGTGCACCGAGAATCTATCTTCTTTGTTTAATGTATACAGCAAACATTTCGCGTATCGCCTCTAATGACAAAGTCCCCTTTAGGCAAGACCTGTTTATCACACGCGATATCCATGATGTCAGTTAGCACCTTCTTGCGTCGCTGGATCTTACGTTGTACATGGGTCACTGACCTTGCACCTCGTGGTGTGTAATTCCTTTACCATCACAACCTGACTGACCATGACGAGTCTAGATCATCGACAGGTTGTGCGGTTAGTCGTGGCATCGGCTTCACTAGACTAACAACTAAACTGAGGGGCAAAAGAAACGTCCCCGATCATTTTTGTATCATAAAATGATACAAACACGTGCAATTCAATGTTGAAATGTTTGATATAATTTTTGAACATATTATGCAGACTGTCATTACAGAACAATTGAAACAATTTGCTGTAAGTAGAGTTTTTGTGACGTTTTTTCACAGGAGGTTCAAATGTCCGGTTTTCGATCATGACAACACATGCACATCAGTACTGACAGAGTGTCTTTGAGTGTCCAACTCCTCAGTAGCGAGTGTGTCCACCTCTTGCAGCGATACATGCTGCCACACGACGTCGTGCAGAGTGCACAAGACGTCTGATCACGTGATGTGGGATGCGACGCCATTCTTCCTGTAGAGCTTGAGCCAAAGCGTTTCTTGTCTGTGGGGATGTTGACGTTGCTTCACCTGACGGCCGAGATGATCCCATAGGTGCTCAATAGGTGATAAATCGGGGATCTTGCTGGCCAAGGAATGACGTTTACGTTGTTGTTGTTCAGGAAGTTCCGGGTAACAACAGCAGTGTGGGGAGTAGCGTTATCCTGCTGAAACAACACGCCCTCGATTCTGCTGGAGGAAGGGTAACACGACAGGTCGTAAAACAACATCAATGTATCGACGGGCATTCAGGTTTCCCTCTATCACCAACAAGTCAGTCTTCCTCTCGCCACAAATTCCCCACACCATCACACTACCGCCGCCAAACGTCTCAACTTCCTGAACGCAACAACGTGCTGTGCGTTCGTTCCGACGTCTGTAGACTCGTACCCGACCATCAGCTTTGTTCAACTGGAAGCGGCTCTCGTCACTGAAGAGTACCCGGCGCCAGTTCCGCGGCTGCCACTGCCGAACTCTACGTGCCCGCCAAGCCAATCGACGACGTCGATGTTCACGCGTTAACGTCACGCCCCGGAATGGTCTGTAGGCTCTGATACCGAATCGGCGGAGTCGTCTGGATATGGTCCTTCTACTGACTGGATGGGTAAGGTTGGTTGTTGCTGATGACGTCACAGTCAGGAATCTGTTGCGCAAGTGAAGCACCCGTAAATGGCGGTCTTCCTGAGGGGTGGTTACGGGTGGTCTCCTGTCCTAGGGCCTGTCTGCAGTCCGACCTGTTGTTCTGAAGCGTGTCATCAGTCTGGTGATGGTTTTCTTTGCTGCAACCCATGATTCTTGCAACGTCACTGTGAGAAGCACCCAGCTGCAACATCCCAATAGCTCGTTCTCTCTGTTCTGCCGTGAGTCGAGGCATGTTCTTTGTGTCCAACGTATTGAAGTGATGAATTCGAACAGTCGAGCATAATTTTTATACTGTACTTTCATACGGGTATGTTTCCACAGAAGCATGCAAAAAACGTGAATAAAAGCAATTTTCATGCTTACAAAAAACTCCACGTGGATTTCCTTTCTGTGAGACGTGGGGATGCGTTCGGGAGATGTGTTCCTAAATAAATTTCCGTCATAACGAAAACAGAAGAAATGTTTTTTACAATTTTACTTTGGGGACGTTTCTTTTGCCCCTCAGTTTAGTCTCTGAAATAAACATACTTTACTGAAAAAAGTTCATAGTAAAAAAAAATATATATAATGAAAAGGAGCCCTGAGACTTTCTTCATTTTCAGAAGCTGAGGAAATCTAGACTTGCCACATTTTCTAGACTTGTGTGGGCTTTCTTGGATGTATTTGCCTCAGGGTCTGTACGAGAGACTACGGCTTCACCAACCATCAACTATGTCATCGACGAAGAATCGCCGCCCGACTTCCTGGTTTGAATACACTCACTCTGTTTTGATCAGTTCACAGAATGGGCTGTGGAGCTCGCTCCCCTCCCTCACTCACTCACCCAATGACCTTAGCCTGTCATTACAGATCAGTCAAATAATTACAACACCAGGTGTTCGCGAGAGGGTATATAGTGTCCTGATTCACGGAACACTAAGCAAAGGTTCCTGACAATATTCAGACTAACGGATAGTCTTATCACCTGCTGTATGAGTGAGTGAGTTTAGTTTTACGCCGCACTCAGCAATATTCCAGCTATATGGCGGCGGTCTGTAAATAATCGAGTCTGAACCAGACAATCCAGTGATCAACAGCATGAGCATCGATCTGCGCAATTGGGAACCGAAGACATGTGTCAACCAAGTCAGCGAGCCTGACCACCCGATCCCGTTAGTCGCCTTTTACGACAAGCATAGTCGCCTTTTATGACAAGAATCGGTTGCTGAAGAGCTATTCTACCCCGAATCTTCACGGGTCCTGCTGTATGAACAGAATATACGTTGGGTACAGAGCTGACTGACTTGCCCTTCATTATAAGAGTTTACGACACTATCCATGATCTCGGATCAGTTAGCTGCAGTTTCAACATACGACAACTTAAAACGCGAAAAGGAAACACGTAACGGTACACTGAAGCACTCGTAAAATGTTGTGTCCTATAAGGAAAGCGACTTAGCTCGAACTATGTCTCTGTCAACCAGCTGTGAATGGGTACCCGGAGGATAGGATTGCAATACGATTGCCTACCACACAGCGCCATTTAAGGCAGGTTGGTTTGTATACTCTTCAAGGACATGAGACCTGGATAATGACCATTTATAATTTATTTATAATTGTCCATATGTGTATTGTAATCATCATCATCTTCATCATCATCATCATCAGCAGCAGCAGCAGCAACACTATAACTATTATTATTATTATTATCATTAACTGGCAGTTTTATGGTGAAATCTATAGTGGTATAATGTATTTTTGACATGTGACTCCAGCTCAGGGACATGGGTATAACTGCCATATTTCCCTACTCCGAGTGACATAGTTTCTGTCATTTTGAAATCGACAAAGCATTCGTGACAACCGAACATCGAGCGTGATTTGACTGCTTTCAACACACTTTGTAATTTCCCCAACCCTCCAAACGCCTCCACATAGTCCTTGTTTTCTCAGACCGCCTCCGTGGTGTAGTGGTTAGAGCGTCCGCCCGGAGAGCGGAAGGTCGCGGGTTCGATCCCCGACCGCGTCATACAAAAAGACGTTAAAATATGGTACTTGTTGGTCCCTGCCTGGCGCTCGGCATTAATGGGTACAACAAGGACTGGTTGGCTCAGAGTCAGTATAATGTGTCTGAGTGGGGTATTCATGCTTCACTGCGGCATGGTATCTCAGTGGGATAGCACTATAAAACCAGCTTCAGTCTGGGCTAGTACAAGCAGCCGCACATACACATACACACGCATGCACGTCGTCATATGAGCGAAACATTCTCAAGCACGACGTTAAACCCAATTTCACCTCACCTCACCTTGTGTTCTCAACAAAATTGACAAAAATAGAGTTTAACATACCATGTGTTCCTTCCTGGACTGCACCCACAGCCTGTCGGACGTTTCTGTTCAATGTCCAGCGAGGTAAGCTCTGCAGTGGTTGAGCCCTGCAAATTCCATCGCGATGGGATGGTTAAGACACTGAATACTGTTTATATGACGATCGCGACACAAATAGCGCACACGCATCATGGCAAGTGAACTAGTTTCACCATGTACTGTTAAATACCGACATCCATCTTTTGTTTATGTTCGTGTCGTTAGCGCGCGACTCGGCCGTTCGGTAAAAATATTTGGTTCTTGATAAGGTAAATATTATGGTTTAAGTCAACAATAACGTGCCACGGTGTGGTGCTATGTGAATAGAAGGGTAATAATCTTCTAAAATGGACTTGATTATAAACATAACCAACCAACAGCAACTGGCGTCTGACGTGCTGTTAACGGAAGGGATCATTTCGGATAAAAAACAACGAAACGCCGAGCATGTCTCTGTCGCAAACATTGCAACTAGAAGTGGTTTAAAATTCCTCGGATTTCAACTGGATTTGTGGATTGGATGATCAGGCTCTGTGAATTGGCCGCAGCGTGCTCATGGTTTCAATTATTGGTTTGTCTGGTTCAGACTACATTATTCATTACATGCCGGTGTGGTCGTGGGTATTTACTGGTGTTTACAAGAATTGGATGTGTTTTGTCTCTGCGTTTTGAAAGAAATGTTTAAAAATGTTAAAATCTCCACATATGGCATTTTCCCAACGTAACCAAAGGCCCTCGTGTCTTTGCGAGGATTAAAGATGTTAAAAAAACATATAACATTTTAGATGACCCCAGACTCGAAATGCTTCACAGTACAATACATGATGACAAGGCCGGACACTTCGGTGTACCCTACCCGCCTGCTTTGCCGATCGCTACGCTACCTTCGCATGCAATCGATTAAAACTTAATGTAGACATAATCATGGATGACTGGCCTATCGAGCACCACTCATGACACCTACCAATTCTTTATTGTTATTTCTGCCAGTCGATTGAACCAGACAACCCAGTGATTGAATTCATGAGCATCGATTTACGAAACTGGAATACGATGATAAGCAGCAATTAAGTCAACGAGCCTGACCACCCGAACCCGCTGGTCGCTTTGCTCTTACGACAAGCATGGATTGCTGAAGACCCAATTCAGACCTGGAACTTCACGGGTTATTCTTAATCGGATTAACTAAGTAGTTCAGTATTCGTAATCCTAGCGTGTAAACAATGTTGAGAACATTAACGTTTAAAAGGATGCAATGGGTTCGTTCTTCTGACTCCTAATGTTTCACTGAATGTCGGTACATTTCGCCGCTTGTGTCGACCACCTGCGTCGACGACTGATGTACGCCGCTGCGCTCTCATGTCATGCACGTGCAACACGGGCACCTGCCATGTCAATTTCCCCGTTTGTATTCCACCTGTCTGACTTGTCATAAAACTGTCTTATCATTCGAGAGTCAGTTATTTTGAAAATTTCAAAAGAGATATTATTGGTGTATAGATAATGTATGAATCTGTGGTATATTTGACACCAGCACATGCTGTTTGTACCTATTTGATGACCTTTCATTGATACACTTGGCAGTGTACTACATTTGGGTATGATAAGACATCTCTCATTTTTAATACATACTCTCTTTGGTGATGTTCTTGATGACATAGAAAGGTCATTTGTAGAGGTCTGTATTACCGCTTTCCGATGTGTGGCGATGTGGTAGCCTTGCGGTTAAAGCGTTCACTCATCATGCCAAAGATCCGGGTTCGATTCCCCATATGGGTACAGTGTGTAAAGTCTATTTCTGGTGCCCCCGCCGTGATATTGCTGGAATATAGCTGAAGGCAGCGTAAACTATATTCACTTACAGTGTGAGAAGTTGGAAAGCCAGTTTGCATAATTCTGTTTTTATTCAGAACAACTTAATAAGATTTCAATTTATTATCACTAACAGTGTTGTTGACATTGGAAACATGCACGGTAGCATAGTCTTGCCCTCTTATCCTCAGGGTACACTAGACGTCCCGAGGAAAACCAGAGATATTGTCCCCAAAGCTTTGCACGGCTACCTTCTCAATCGATTGATTGATATCGGTTGATTGGGTGGCTCTTACCACATATTTCTTTGGATAAAAGTAAACAAACACGGATACTCAATCATTTTTCTGTGAAGAGGCGGTTCAACTGATGAAGAAGGTATTAAATGTATTTCCTGCATGGAAGGCCATTACAAGTTACACCAGTATTACCCCAGCCACAATGGCTCAGACGTTTAACCACGAGTGCTGACATATAGTTTACATCAAAGGAAAAAGGAAACCAGAAATAAACAATGGATTCACAGAAGCCTCTATTTGAGGAAATGCGGTATATTTTTGTTCGATGTTGCCTTGACGGTGGCCCCCTTGAACGTACTTCCCTCACATGCGCCTATTTGTCTATCCCCATGAAGTGGCGCCAAAGTAGGTGATACAAAATGCTATTGTCTCCCAGACAAGGAAGTGCAAGGCAGAGGTCACATGGCCGTTGCTGTTAACGACGTGGCACTGTTACACGCGGACTACACCTTATAATGGCCGCTGCGTTAACTTAATCTCGTGTATTCTACTTGTCAAAAACACTTGGCAACGACATCACCGACTACGATGAACCGTTTCCCCAAGGACTATAAATACCCGGCCATGTCAACAATCCCACTTCTCAATGGAAAAATACACCGTAAACTGAGTCATGTATTTTAGTGTACGAGCTGTCGTGTGAGACTGTGCCAGACATAACGTCTAAACAAGCTAGTAGTTGAACAAATTACATGTTTTCTAAACTTGTCTGTTTCTGTGTTTAGTAGTGCACTGTGACTTTGGTTTTGATGTACGCCTGGCGCAAGGTGTGACCTTGTGGGCATCCAACAAATGGCGTGTGTAATTAATTACTGTATTCTTGACCTGACAAACCAGTGGTTGATGTCATGAAGCAACAATCAAGCGGTAGTCACTTCTTACGTGAGTATGGTTTTACGCCGCTGTTAGCAATATTGAAGAGAGAGAGAGAGGGGGGGGGGGGGGAGACGGGACATCAGAAATCAGGAATGGGCTTCACACATTGTACCTATGTGGAGAATCGAACCTGGGTCTTCTGCATGACGGGCCAACGCTTTAACCATCAGACTACCTCATCACCCCAATCACTTCTTGAGTCTGGACAAGGATCAAGCCTGAACCCCTTTTCACACCAGCCTTCCTATATAGTCAGAGTGTAAGTGTAGGAATTAATGGATTGAGTGAGTGAGTTTTTTAGTTTTACGTCACTTTTAGGAATATTCCAGCAATATCACGGCGGGGACACCATTGATGGGCTTCACATATTGTAGCCATGTGGGAAATCGAACCTGGGTCTTTGGCGTGTCGAGCAAACACTTTATCCACTAGGCTACCCCACCGCCCAGAGTTCATTGAAAAATGATAGGTCGACGTCATACATCAGAAATGCTGTATTTCTTCAAATTCCATTTAAAATCTAAGACTTCACCCAGGAAATGGGGGACAGGTACAAGTCATACTGACATTGTCCATACGATCCTCATTTTGCTCCTCTCAAAGACTTCTTCTGCTGCCTCGTAACTATGGACACCACACAAGGTGTCCACAAAATAAACATAACATAAATTTGACTAGAGATGTGTTTATTCGTCATCTATAGAAAATATTTGTCTAAATACAGTGTGAGACAATGTTAGAACATAAATGGTTTTAAATTATAAAATAAATAGTCACATACAAAATCTGTAACATGTATGCCATAAAATCTACACTATAGTGCTGTGGAACACTGAGCCGATGGTGGAGAAGGGTTAAATGACAAAATACATTGCTGCATTGTTTAGGAGTCCTTTTCACACCTTGGTTATTCGATATTGCCTGGATTAAAATAACATCAAATTCAATGGTTTGATTCTAAACCAAAGAAATTAAATAATCTCGTCACAAACTAGATATTAGACTTGCTACTTATTCTGGTACTGAGACTTTAAATTCGACTCCAATGCGTTAAAATTGTCAGAGAAAAGATACTATGTAAGAAATGTTTTATCTTGACTCTTACCACTTTGCAGGCTATTGCAATTGTGATCTCGCATCTTGTAAAAATCATAATACTGAAAATTAGTTTAAATATTGTATTATTTCATTATCAAATATAATCTTTATCGTCATACTTAACACATACTAAAATGTCTTAATGAACTTGGGATGAAAATGAGCATTGGTTTTAAACATATTTTGTTTTATATTTGTGAATATGAGGTTGGCAGATTCATGAGAATGTTATTTGGACCAACTGTACTTTTGCAACATCCAATGAACTGCTGACACATCAGTGTCTTTGATTTGTCCAGATTTGTACCCAATCACCATCGGAGCAATGAATATGAATTTTTTGGGAAGATAAATCATGACTTACAAACTACAGCTGATTCACATGAAAAGAACCTTTGCACCTCTTTCCAAAAACAATATATATTGATGTTAAGATGCTTTGATGAACACATCCTAATAACAGAAAATATGATCCAACCCATCTTCTTGAGTCATAATTTCATTATATTGAATGAATAGGTCAAGTCTCACAAATATATTTGAGTTTTAAGCCACATAATTATTACTTTCAATTGTGACAAATACCCATGGTTCATTATTTTCACATACAAAACATTTTTGGTTGTAATTCATTCAAACTACATTTGGAATGGTGAAACTTAGAGCAGCAAAATTTAAAATGAATATTAAAAAACATGGTCATGTGAATTCAATTTCTTTTCATAAAGCCAGTCACTCAGCCTAAAATACTGTCTGCAGAAATGTTGTAATATTATTTAGCACATGTTGTTGGCATAGTTCAAAAGCAGCTTACCAAGGGTCAGTTTGTATGTAAGGTATGGGCCCACTATGTCGGAAATATCAGCAACATCATGATACAGAATCTACTTTGGCAATTGTGAAAACAGTTTTAGCGGCACCTACAAGGGAAGGGAAGTTGACAATGAATAAAGAGCAGAGTCAGAGTCAGGACACAATGACTCACCAATGGAGAAGTGTGTTGATATTATGGAACGAAAACAATGCAGGCATTACACATGAATTACTAATGTTAGTGAAAAACACTTTCAGATTAGGGAAATTGTTATTTCATTCATCTTACTATCTTTTATAAACCAATCAACTGGATACTGAGGACTTGATACAAATCTAAATAATCAAACCATTGTTAACTTTAATGAACAGAAAGGCACTAAAGTCATAAACAATTCATCAGGTCACATATATGAAGTGAACTTACATATATATATATATAAAACAAATAGTCATGTGTCATACCTTATAAAAAACTAAAACAGAGAATCAGTTGGGTGTGAAACACTGCTATGAACAGTGTTCAAGTTAAATTAATGTGAGAGGCATACACAGATGCTCTCTCAGACTTCCATGAAACCCACCAGCATGGGTACGGTGCTTAACTTAAAAACAAACAACAGAAAATCATACTCAATACAATATGGGATTCAAACCTGCATTCCAAGGTTTCAGGCATGGCCAAGGGAGGAAACTCTGCACAGAGAATATGAAACCTTAGACAATGGGGCCATTGTGCCCCAAACAAACGTTAAAACTATATCAATGCAAATTGCATTTGTACATTAAAAATAGTTTCCATGTTGAAATGAACTTGAAATATATTTACATTGCTTCTACTAAAATGAATTTTTAAAAAGTAAATAAGGATGCAATCCTTTGTTAGTCTCACCCACATCTCACAATAATTCAATCAATATATGTACACTTTATATAATTAACAGACAATGTAATGGAAGTCATCTCTTAAACTGTTGTTTACAGTTTCAAATATTGTTCCACAACACATATTTCATCAAAGTGCATTGTGGTTCAGGAGGAACTATCCTCAGTTATCAAGTGCACAACATCCATTACATCATCTAAACACCCTAGCCCATGTACTACCTTGTGGCTTATTGGAATAATGATTTAAAGGCAACCAATCAAAGGGCAAAAATGGATGAGAGAAAATTATCTTAAAGTAAATTCAGATCTTAATTCAGTATTTAAGAAATAGAGATGGCGACAATGGTACTGATTGAGCACAGGGTATTTATGACAATGGTACTGATTGAGCCCAGGGTATTTATGACAATGGTACTGATTGAGCCCAGGGTATTTATGACAATGGTACTGATTGAGCCCAGGGTATTTATGACAATGGTACTGATTGAGCCCAATGGTTATGACAATGGTACTGATTGAGCCCAGGGTATTTATGACAATGGCATGGAGACAAAACAAAACACCCTGGAACACCGAGGATGGGACAACATGCTGTTATTAAATATACTGAATGCTATATATCTGTCATATACAGATTACTTAAATAGGGACACTGTGTAGTTATAAGTAATAACATCTGAATCCCAGTCTGTAGCTCTTTGAAGAGAAGCATGTATTCTGTATCCTTCTAAATAACATGAAATATTTCTATGATGATAAATGTAACCATGGCAACATATGAAGTAAACAAGTATATTCTAAACACTATGTACAGCATAAGGATATCTTAGTTTATCAATAAATATTTCAAAAAGACAAATATTGCACTTCAAATAACTCCCAAATTCATGTGGGTTGTGAATTTTAACTTCATTGCAATTGATGGTTGTCATCAATAAATTCAAATTTATTTTAAATTTTATATGAAGTATATCTCACTCACTGCTGGTGTTAGTTTCTATGTTGGGGGCAATGCATCTACAATTCCAAATGTGTCCATATTGGCTTCAAATCACAAAAGACCGCCTCATGGCCATGACTGTTTATGGTACATCCTTGCCTGGCCACCTGTTCCTTGTGTTGAGTTTCTATGTTGGGGGCAATGCATCTACTTTTCTAAGTCATGTCCATATTGGCTAAAAAGAACAAAATGCCTTGAAAACATTTACACCAGTCTCTTCAAACATCACCTCTACATTAATACATCTTTTCATCATAGGTGATTAATAAAAAGGGATTTGAGACCCTGTATTGGTTCTTTAAGAAATTAGATCGCCCACCAAAATGAAATGAACACATATGAGTTCACTGCAAAGTCAGACCAAACCTGAACTGCTATGAAAGGACAGAACAAAGACAGTCCAAACTTTTAGCCATTGCACAGCAAGACATCTATCACACACCCATGTATGCATCAGTTATGTTGTGGTTCTGGATAACAGTGAGAATTACAGGGGTCATGATTCAACGTGAACTTAACCACCTGTTCTGATACATGATAAGGTGACCTGTGTATCGATCCATGTCTTAATTCAGTCTTGTTTTACCAGGATCTTTACCCTGCCTTATAACTACTGGATCAAGTGTTAACTGCCTGCATTCAAGAAAATATAATACCATACCCTGATTTCTCGAAACAAACTTAGTCTGAGTTTTGCCTTAAGTTAGAGTTTTTACTCAAATTTGAGGAAACACAGGAAAATGCATTTCCCAGAATGAACTGAAATCGATATTAAACTCAAACATAGTAGACAATTTGAGTTTGGTGGTTAGATTACTTAAGTTATTGGGGCTTTTTTATTTTAAAATTACAGTTCAGTTAAAAATTCAACTGTTTCAAACTGTCAAACTTAGTTTCAAATTTGAGTAAAAACTTATTTTTTTCTAGAAATCGGGGACATATTTTTTTGTACTATTATCATGATTTTTGCAAAAATAATTTAACCCATCATGCAATTAAAAATCAGTTGATAGCAATTTGCTTTTACCACATGTGCAAATTAAGTATCAGAAATTAAGTATTTCAAAAGTATCAATATTCATCAAGCTCAAAAGAATATATTTCATATCTGTGTCTCGGCATTATTCCAACCAGATCATGTGCAACGATCCTATCAGGCTACGAAGATATTACATAGACTTAGTCGCTAAGCTTGATCACAATATCTCTTACATGAAGGTGTTAACCCAGAATCCCTAAACAATGGCCATTTGGATTAAAAGAAATAAAACATTGCAACATATTTCCATTGTTCGCTTCCACATGATGTCTTCGACAATCTACATAAAAACAAATTATGTAAAATATAGCCTCTTGATGACAAAGAAATGGATACAGGCTTGGATATGGTGACAAAAATCGGTCAACAGACTCAAAAAAAGCCAAATTGTTCGTACAAGTAGCACTCTTGATATGCAACACTAAATGAGATTCTAAAACATATTCATCCTCAGACACGACACATAGAAATGACATTCCTGGTAAAATCCATCTAAAAGTTTGACATGAGCATGAAATCTATGAACACAAACCAACAAAATACACAAGGTAACAAACAGCTGCACAGAAGCTGGCAAACAAGTGGATTTCTCTGAACAAGATCATATGGATGTTACTTCAATTGGTGAGTTGGATTTAGAGCTGTTTTGAACTGTATTTTGGTTCTTACCAAGTTTTTGTTCCCTGCATCTTAACATACTGATGGTTGTGAGCCTGCGATTAAAATATCTGAATCCTTGACCTTGGGAATTGTGTAACTATTAATGCTACCCATAAAATATTAAAATCAGCTTGTTGAAATTTAATGTTCCCTCGAATAAAGTTGTGTGATTACTAAAATAATTGCGAAATAAAATTTCATTAAAATTAAACTTTCAAAAACGATTATCACAAACAATAAGAATACAAATCATGTACATAAATGATCCTGTTCATTTGTCAATACTTCTTCCATTATGCCTTTTTCACATCCTTGACCATATTTACCGCGGACAAACTTACTACATTTTGGGTATGATATGACTGACAGTGAAATACAGTCAACCAATCAAATAACTTGTGACTGACAAATTCCCGAGGGTAACCAAACAAAGTTATGGAGGTGAAAGGGTCAAGGATGTGGATCATCTCTGGATGAAGACATTCCTTACAAAACGATCAAGAAGAATTACCATAAGCTGCATGTCTCCTCAAGCAGTCCCCTCTACAAGCCCTACAAAGTCTGGTTAAACTGCCATGTTGTAAGCATTATGCATTTTATTGCTTAAAAACAGTGTTGAACTTAACGAACACTGGATATGGATGACAATTAAGATTACTTGTGCCCCATAAAATGACGATCAATGATGCTACAATGGTGAGTCCCTAGATACGAGAGTGTCCCAGAGGAGGAACTTCAGGTGAAACAGGGGAAGTCATCCAATAGCAATGGTTACTGGCAAAAGGTGTTTCACGCGCTGAGTGAAACTTCACAATGAATGTCACTAATGTCTTTGGCAAAATAAGAACTAAGTACTCAACATAAACAGTTCAAAACATATCATAAACAATATATATTACTTCAACTGTGAAAAAACTTCTCAAAAATACTGAAATGTGCAACTTTGGTCTAACAACATAAATAATACCTCAATAAAAAATACTGACGTTTCAGTAATATTACTTGCAATGTTGACAAATATGAATTTTTAAAACTGTTTCAGAGGCAATGAATGACCTTTGAGACTATGTAAAGCTGGACATTTGTATAATGCTGAGGTTTAAGTTTATAGGTGTCCTACCACATTAGAACTTCCTCTTATTCTGATAGACATGCCTTATCTAAATACTCAATTGACTTGAAAACTTACAACTGCAAATTGAGTTGGAAAATCCTGAACGTCCTTATTTCATGATTACATGTCACTGATTGTAAAGTCATTTTGTGTTAGACCAAGAATAACATGTGAATTCCAACTCATCATTGAGATACTTCTGACTGTAGCCAAGCTGATATAAAACAGACTGGTTCTTGGCTGTGTTTGAGCTGCATCACCTTCATGAAATACCACATTGTAATAGCACTGATCTGCCCTGATTCCATGACCCAGTAGATGAGACATCTACAAACAAAACTCTCATCACGCCATACATAACCACTGCATGGCGTCATACACAGTACCACTTAATGGGCACAAACAGATTTCTTTAAACAATTTCCCCAGAAGTCTTTTTGCACTGAAGAAAATATAATTTGGTAATCAAGTTACGCTGATATGCTCAAGGAAGAATTGGCTTCTGTTCTGTGTCCAAGTGTACTTATACTCGTACATCTACAACTGTATAAAGTTCACATCGCCTGATTACAGACAGAGAATAGAAGTAGTGTGCACACAGGTTTTGTTGGGTTTCCAGCTATTTTCATCCCGTGTTCCATGATCAGTTTCCAGTTAGTAACAGGCAGATCTAATGGACCAGGGAACAACTATTCATAGCTTACATCTTTTCAAACATTACCCTTTCTGAAGCCCACAAAAATAGGTTACGTGTTTGTAGATTCAATAGATTCAATGCATTTTGCTTTCAAGATGATTTAACAAGCCCTTGGACAGTACTTCAGCCATACCTTGTGGTTTATATACCGGTATTCAAAATCTTGCATAAAATTGACAACCTATTTCTTTGTCTTGATGTGACACAGCTGCTCAACCTGTTGTGAGAATATATAATGCATCATCATCAAGGTGCCAATCTTGGACAACTTTAAAACTTTTTATCCCTCAACAATGAAACACTGCATACTTCAGCTGTTTATCATAAATACATTTCTGTAAAATTCTTCAATGCCATTAACACAACAATATGTCCATTTTGTATGTTTTCTTACAACAATGTGTCATTAACACAGTCCAAACAAGGACCGCTCACTGGTAAGGGGAGACAACTTGTGTCAAGGGAGGTGATCAGCATCCTTCTGGTAGCTGGAATGCATCTTGTGCAACTGTGACTGCTATGGGTGATAGACGCTCGGTCTTCACTTCATAAACACTACTCAGATCAAATGGCGGTGAATCTGGTTCCTGAAATAATAAATTGTTACCAAATTAAATCATGCATACAGGAGATAGGGTGACTTGAAGACTTGTTACATGTTACAAAACTTCATGATGCCAGCGAGATAATAGGTCTGCTTGATTGATATGAAACACTGGTAATTACTGTTTTACCAGATGTGCCAATGTTTGAAATTTTGAAATTTAACAATAGTGCCAGAAAAAATCTGCAATAAATTCAGAAGAAAATGGGTTACTCACTGTTTTAATGAGTATACCATCTCCCTCTTCCTTTGAATGGAACCTCCCGCCTTCTCCTCGCGCTCGATTCAATGCGTGTCGGTGTCGTGACTCGTGAAGATATTTCTGAAACAAAAGTCAGGTCAATTGTAGATTCAGTAAACACCAATACAGATAGATTTCACATAATGTTTTTGTCTAACCACACACTGTGCGGGTGAGGTGAAATTGGGTTTAACGTTGTGCTTGAGAATATTTCGCTCATATGACGACGTGCATGCGCTGTGTAAGAGCCCAACTGAAGCTGGTTTTATAGTGCTAGCCCACTGAGATACCATGCCGCAGTGAAGCATGAATACCCCACTCAGACACATTATACTGACTCTGAGTCGAACAGTCCTTGTTGTACCCATTAATGCCGAGCGCCAGGCAGGGACCAACAAGTACCATATTTTAACGTTCTTTGGTATGACGCGGTCAGGGATCGAACCCGCGACCTTCCGCTCTCTGGGCGGATGCTCTAACCACTGCACCACAGGCAGTCCCACACACTGTGCAATTATAAGTGCTTCAAACAGTTCATTTCATAACCTGCACAGCATACCAGGTTGATGTGAAGGAAAAATCCCAAAATGACATAACCATTAGGATTGTAATGTGGACAATCTGGGATTAAAACCCATGACCATAGGATTCTAGTGTGTCAAAGAGAAACTACTCAGTACAACAAATTATGTAACTGGACCAAAGATGCAAGTTTTAAGCTGTTATGCTGAAATGAAATTTAGTCACCTACAATTTTCTTCAACATGATCATGATGTACACTTGATAGTTTAATAGGGCTCCTGATGTTGAAGTTTTACACAAGAAAACAAGCAATCAGAAGGTCTGAACACAGAACTGACAACATCCCACAGGCTCAGCAGAGTGAAGCAGTTGCTAGGAAACTAGTGCAAACATGCAGGAGTTCCAACTAATTTACATCTAATATCATTCACACTGTTAAGGAAATGTTTCAAAAAATGTTTATAACAGATCTGGGGCATTTTGACAACACAATCATAGCACCTAGATTTAGGTCTTCTACAACAACATGCAATACTCCAAATAAAGACCCAACCCATTGAGATGGGTTAGAATTGTTCTTCAACAACCCATGCTTGCCGTAAGAGGTGACTAATGGGATCGGCAGGTCAGGCTCGCTGACTTGGCTGACCCACATGTCATCATATCCCAATTGTCTGGTCCAGACTTGATTATAGACTGCAACCATACAGCTGGAATATTGCTGAGTGTGGCGTTAACAGCAAACCAACCAACCAACCAATGAATACCCAACCTGGTCCCTGAGGCTAGAAAAACAGGACAACAGGCACTGGAACATGAAATCTGTATTCATGTTTTGACATAATGTTGAACTAAACAGAGATAAGACATTTTGAACTGTAAGTGTTGATGTAAATGTAATGTCAGTGTTATTTAAGTGGCATCACAGTGGTCTTACAATAATCATGTACAACCATCACTGAAAGCAGTAAACCATGCCACACTAGTGCCATTACATGCAATCACCATGGTAACAGGTCCCCAATAAAGCAATCAGCAGCTACAAGGGGAGGCAACTCTGGATGTGCACTTGGAGTTGGGATGGAGAGGTGGTGGTACTTATGTGCAACTTGACAGGAAAGTTCTGTTTGTGCCAAATTTGCAGCAGGCTGAGTGAGCATTATGTCCCTTGGTAATGAAAACACTGCATGATCCTGAGTGAAACGTAATTTATATGACTGTATTATACAATAGCTATTTAAACATTGTGTTTTTTACTTCAAATATGGGAAGATAGGTGCCCTTGGAAGCCATGTTAAAAAAACAAATATATCACAGATTGATTGATTGTTGTTTTATGACACACTCAGCAATATTCCAGCTGTATGGTGGCAGTCTGTAAATAATCGAGTTTGGACCAGACGATCCAGTGATCAACAGCATTAGCATCGATCTACGCAATTGGGATACGATGACATGTGTCAACAAGTCACTGAGCCTGACCACCCGATCCCGTTCGTCGTCCCTTACAACAAACATAGGTTACTGAAGATCAATTCTAACCCATACCTTCACGAATCATAAATGTATCAATGTCATATGCAACAATAGCAAAATGAAATGTGAAGGTTAGAAAGGAACAACTAGTTATCATGAACTTTAAAAGAATCAACAGAACATTTGTCATTTTAGAACTTTACCAAAAACTGCCTGCAAATGTTTAAATCATCACAGCATTTGGTTACCATAGTTACAAAAAGGTTAAAGGTCAGCAGTAAGTGGTTCAGAGCTCCAGAGAACATGTTAACTTGAAGAGAGTGAATACTTAATGCTGAATCGGCAACAAAGAAAGAGACAACATTCTTACACAGGATCACACAGAAGAGTAGCTTCTCAGTCAGCTTTTTATCAAAATTTCTGGATTTAGTTTTCTAAAAGAGAATTCTTTATAATGTTATCTCTTAATATAGAAATGACCTAAAATAGGGTGGAGTGGTATCTTAATGGTACCTTAAATGATTACCATGGTTACCAGCACTGCCTTATCACTTTTGACTCAGAAGTGTGATCTATGATCTATTGGTTAACAATTCCCATCATTAACAGCCATGGAGAGAAAAAATACTTCTTTTCAACATAAGGTTGACATAATGATAGATAGGAAAAGCCTATTGTAGTGGGGATGTCAACTGAATTTGAATGATATGTCCAATATGGCTGATTGAGAGGGCATGCTTTAGACTCAACACATCCCAAAACACCTTCCATGTCATCCAAACGTCCTGGGGGATAGAGAGTGCAATGCTTTCAAACAATTTGTCAAAACTGCAACCGTTGAATCAAGTGAGATAGACAACACGACATGAGCTAACACAGACATACTGATCGTGAGAGGCCAGGAAGCTCACACACACATACCAACCACACACAAACACAATACAGGATCGGGCTGATCAACCTATGTCTCACCAAAAGTCGTTCTCACCCGTCTCTCTTTAGATATTTTGCCGTCTGCCTCTAACTTGGCACGGGCCTGGCGGCGTTTCAGTATCCGATGGTACTGCTTGGCGTTTACATATAAAGGTTCATCATCATCAACAATTTCTGGACAGGAGAGTGGGACTCTTTGAACGGTTGGGGTGTTTGTGGAACCGGGCACGACCTGCAATCAAGAACACATTCTTAGGAGCTTCCAACTGAAATAAGATGTGATTATCTTGCCTCCACTTCAGAATGTTGAGATTTGCTTGCTGCATGTGTTCTACATATAACCAGGTACTAAACTATATTTCTGAGCAGTAGAATAAATCCCTTATACCCCAACAGGATGATAACAGGCTGCTCAAACATTTCTAACATGGAAAATGAATTTCTCTCCAAAGCAATATGCTGCACCTTGTTTACGGGTAAATGAAAGATGTTTTCTATCAATTTTCAATTTGTTATATTCTATAATCACAATGAATGAAGAAACATGTTAGCAACATACAACTGTTGTAGCAGTATCACTATGGATGATTTTATGTTTTTAACCTAACACAGGATGCATAAAACAAATTTTCCACAAGATACAACCAACATGTTCTAGTTCAGTCATTCATGTAATATAACACTGAATCACACATTAAAACTTGAAAGAAATTGTCCATGAAAACAAAATCAAAGTCAACAACATATTTCTCAATGAACTTCACATTAACTACAAACATATGTATTGGAAAACCTGATTATATGATTTATGTAAAAAAATGGGTCAGGAATGATAAAAGTCTTGAATGTTTATGACTGGTGAAACCCACCAGCAGAGACAATATAGTGCAATGAAGGAGGATGATGTAGGATTTGAATCTACAACAAGCATCTGTGAAAGCAAACTGCGGTGCCTTCGACAATTGGGCAACATTTATTCAATGCCTCTTGCAATGAAATTTTAAAAGTGGATAAGTTCTACCTGGGGATCTCATTGTTCAAAATACCCACCATGACAACGTTTCCATTGTCGGTGTTGTTGGCGACAGGCATCGGTGATGGTGACTGTGTTGTGGTCTGTGGAGCTGTCACCACCTGATTGGCATCAGGCATCACCGGAGTTTGGGTGGACGGATAGGCAACCTGGTACACACCTGGAGAGAGACGACGGGTGTGGGATACAAGGGGACATAACTCCACTCTTTTGGAAATAACACACAAATGCCAAGAACATATTCACATGCACATGGATGTTCATAATAAGACTGCCTCTCAAAGGAGAGAATTCACAATGTACCTCACCCAACAAGAACTGACACATGAATGAAGGAGAAAACAATACTTTATCNGTTGATACAGAACAAATTCAAAGACGGAAATGGAGCTAAGGATTTAGTGCAAAAGATGTTGAGTGAAGATCGTGATGCCTTGACCAACCTTTGCCATTCTGGGCCCGGTTGTTCAAAACTCGGTTATCTTTTAACCAGCCGTTAAGTACATTTAACCGCCTGTTAACTAATAACATTGGGTTAACTTGTTCAAAACTCTGTTAACTTTTAACAGGATGTTAACTTGACGTTAAGCTAACACACCTAAGGACCACCGCTAACTGTTTAACAGTGTGGTTAACTCGCAAAATGGTGCTCATGGCTACACTGCTTTCATGATGCTAGTTCAGCAAAGAAAGGATAGGGTGTGTCGTGGACTGGACTTCGATATAAGGAATTATTCTGATGAAGAGTTACATATGAAAGTGTAATATGGGTCCCAGTATTGAATATTGCATATCATAGGAACTAAAATACACGTTGTACACGTACACGATGCCTACGTTTCATCTTTTAACACTTGTGTATAGGTTTAAGATATGGTTTACTACACTAAAATGTGTCAATTTCTTCTGTAAATATTATTCAAACAAACAAACATTTTCAAAGAATAAAAAACCTATACCCTATTTCCACGTATGAATGATATTAAACAAGGCTAAATGTAGATAATTAAATTAGTTTCCTGGAAAAATATCCGAACGATTACATTATAATACTGAAAGTGTAATAGGCAGGATATGGCAGCGTTTAAATTTCCCGCCTGCCCGACCGTCCGGAACAGTCTATTTTCATCTCAGACGGTCAAATATCAAAAGTAGCCTGTCCGGTGGTCTGGCAGATATTTTTACCCCTGAGAGTAAATATTTCATAATATCAGACAGGTTCTCGTGTCGTCAGTTTTAGGTGTTTAAGGTATTATAAAAATTATGTTAAACTATATACAATTGTACAGTTCATGTTACGATAACCAATCATAACACATGTACTTTCAGTTTACCCAAACTCGGCGCATTGCCTGTTAGTGCTATGTAGTTCGTTGCGATGCCTACAAACATTGAATGGCAGTTACAGTTTTTTATTGTTGAAAACCGGACAGGCAAGCTTCTATCCGGACTGGCAATTTTTTAAAGTTACCAAGCCGACTGTCTGGCTTGGAATTTTTGGAGTTTTAAACACTGGATATGGTGATTGTATTTTCTCTTATTCAACTGACCTTCACCGCGAAGAAATTGCCAAATATGTACAACAATGTTGACGTATGACATCACTACTGATGACCGATTTCACATGAAATGGCGGCTTCGCTGATGTGGATACGCAGGATTCAGGGATCGTTTGTACATAAATATGTGATGTAAGTAATCAGAACAATTCTGACTATCTGTTTATTGTTATATGTTTTCATTGTAAGTAAGAGAAGAAGCCAGAAATGCCGATCATTACCGTTGTCGTTCTGCGTGATTTTGCGTCAGTCACGGTGCACAGAAACTTTGATAGTTTTGTTATAAACACATCACATTACTGTATTGTATCTATTTTTAATGTGCTTAAGTATAAGTAAATATAAGTGTTGTAATTGAGCGCTCTCAATACCTGCCTTTGTTTAACAAACAAGTGTTGACTTTGTAAACACTATCCAGTATGGCAATCTAGCCAGTTGGTACTTTGTAGTGGTTGTTGTGTATTTATGAAAACATCCCAACAGGATCCCAGGTCCATCAAAAATCGTTTCAGAATTATCATTAGTGATTTCATGAAAATAACTGATATCAGTGATGATTATTATGCTATTTTTGAAATTCAATACTCCAAGTAATTATCCGATTTTTACATTTCAAAACACACCAAATAACGCTGTGAATCGTATTCAATTTCATATTGTGTCAAAAATGGCGACATTTGCAATGAAGCATATTTTGAAAGGTGATTTTTGAGAATAAAATTTCGGTTCTATTCTGTTCTGTTCTGTTCAGTAAAAGGATTAGTAATATGCTTTGAGAAGGGCACAGAAGATAGGAGTGTGCTGTTACTATACTCTGTAGTGACTCTAGGTCAGCTCATTAATTAATATAGGGGTGGACAGCATGGCTCAGCTAATTAGTGTACTCATTGAGTCTGTCTTAGGGGAGGTCTGTCTTTTGGGAGTAAACCATATAAACTAATGAGAGGGCCGGGAACCAGGATGTATTAGCATAAACATTGCTCTCGCAACTGATGTGTAGGAAAATAAACAAAACATTATTATGTGGCTCTATCTATTTCTGTTTTGAGTGATATGCAGGCCGACTTCGTAGTCACTTTGATTAAATGTAATATTTGAATATGGAAATCTAGATCTAGATTATGCCATATATGGTGTCAAGTTCAAGGTTGACAGTAAAAAATAGATCTAGATTATAAACATTACCATTGTTTGAAGATTTATTGAAAAAATTACACCTCAAAACTTGCCGAGTCACCATCATGTCAATGACATGGCTGGTTGCTTGACTGAGCTCCGTGAGCCCTGAATTCTGTGGTCATTCTTGGCCTTCCGATCCATGTTTGTCCCCTTTTCTTTCGCTTCCTTCAACCAAGGGTCTTAGAGCTACCCCCTTCGCATTCACCTCTCTTATAATCTCTGACCATAACGTGTTTTCCATTTCTTCGTAACTTCAGACAAATGTTCACTGATAACAAAGACCATTTGGCCTCAACCATTCTCGTCAGCAGGGAAATGTCTACTTCTTTTTTTCCTAGGGATGCAGGCGACATTTTGGCAAACCGGTAGTAAACAGAAAACGGAATTGTGGGATATATGGAAGCTAACCAGTGACGTTAACCACGCGGTTAACTTTGACGGTGACGTTAGCTAACGGAATAACTAACCATGTTTTGAACAACGCATATTTAACGTTCGGTTAGCTAATGGCTGGTTAAGGATTTAACCGGCCGTTAGGAGTTAACCGGCGGTTAAGATAACCAAGATTTGAACAACTGGGCCCTGATGGTTATCATTAACACATGAAGTGTAAGCCACGTGCAAAGTAAGTCCTTAGAACAAGACGTGTAAACTTCAACATTTACTTTCAGATATGAACAAAAAATTCATTCCAACTTGCACTAAAATCACACTGACTATAGCATGAAAGCACCTGAATGCCAAATTAGCTCGAAAACTCAGCCCGTCTGGGTGAACAAGTTCTCGTTCTACTGAAATATTTCCATTGTATCAACTCCAATGATTTTCAATATAATATGAAGGATAATTTTTTCATCTGTCATAATTTTCAAGTAATAATTAAGTACTTGTCACCTGTATCATAAATAAACATTATACTCAGCAACTGTCTGTTGAAGAAATAAAGAGACAGGGTATTTGTGTAAATGGACTCTAAACCAGTTTTTAAAGGGAGGTAACTAAGTGACATGGTCCTGACTCTCAAATGTCTGAGTAAAAGTGACTGATAGACTTTCTGAGGGAAATGGCTGATATACACGTTTTGAATGGTGAGGTTTGACAGGAAATTGACAATATTACCCGAGAACATAAAATTTGAAATAATGGGAGAGCATGGGAAAATATTGCAGGATGAGTACAAAATATTATAACCTTGCCATGCAGACAGGTTGGGTTAAAAATAAACAGCTCTTCACTTAATGTGCTGCAGATTTGGGCATTATTCAGCTGAACACCACACAGCAATTGTTCATTGGAAGGGAGACAACTCCATAGTTACTCATCATAAATAAAACCGTTCAATGAAACATTAACATATTTCAACTGGTTGTAAAGAGACTTTTTCACCTGAGATCAGGACCAGAAAGAAATTGGAAATTAAAGGAACATTAGCCATTTTTGAGGATACTTCAAGGTGGGCCTCAAATTTCAAGGATTTAAGTCCTTCTGCGAAGTCCAATTTCCTTACCTTGTGGCTGGAGTTGGGCTTGTGCAGAGTTATCTGCCCCTGCAACATGCTGCTGCCACAGTATCTGACCATTCTGAGCATTGATGAACTGCCCGAGAACCTGGTTCTGTGTCTGAGGCTGCTGGATAAATACCTGGAAGCACATAGCAGAAAGAATTAACTGCTGACACAGCATCTCTACATCCTTAGTCAGCAACAAAGAGGGCACAAGACCAGGGATAGGTTAACTCCTTTGGTTTAACCAAAACAGATTTTGTTTAACACTGCACTCAGCAATGTTTCAACTATACAACAGCTGTCTGAACATAAGTCTGGACCAGACACTCCAGTGATTGACATGAAATATGCAAATGGGATAGGATGACAGGCATCAAACAAGTGCATTAACATAGTGATACCTGATAAAGTATGCTGAAGGTGTCTGTGGAAGTCCTGTTAATTGTTTTCTAAATTCATAAAAAAACTGGAAAGTTTAACTTTGTTTATATATACATGTACGTATAAAGCTTTCAGCTCTGATTTTACTCAAACAGCTGTACCAGAATTAACTAAGTTATGGTCCTCTATTTCACTGAGAGGACATCAACTGCTGTACAAGCAGACAATGAATAAATCATTAGTGTAGGATATCATGTCTGTACATCCATGATGGCAGGTGACATGTCAGCACCTGAATATAGCATGATATGTGCCTTAGTTGATCGACATAAATGTCTACGATTACATTTTGTACATGTCAGTCCACAGGTGGAAATCTATCAGGAGTTACAAGAGAACCAATGGTGAGAAGGAGACAGGCTGCTGTGATAGTCATGTCGGACACTTCATTTCAAATAAATGTACGTATCAAATTTTCCAATTCATATTCTGCAATTATTCTTCCATGTGCAAACTCCACTTAAAAGTAAAACCTGTTAAGGAGTTAAATAAAGACTAAATGCCATAATATAAGGTCCTGTCCTAAGGGTAAAAACTAATCAGGGTAAGATTTCTTGTGGGTTATTTTTATGAAACAATAAATAATGGAATGAGCCTTTTCAGTCACTACAGGCTTGAAACTGAATGTTCTGTTGGTTGATCTTTCGAAGCCAGGGGCATGAAACAGAATATAACACATGACTACCAATTGTTACAAATAATGAACTAAGTCTGCTTCAAAACGTTTTTTAGTCATATTCCTGCCTCTCGGCTTAACTACAGAAAAAAGAACAAAGGTAATGCCGGCTATTAAGGTTTGCCAATTTGTTAAGCCCATGAGAAGAGTATAATGCTCCCAGCATAAGGACTGTAGTCAGGTTGAATCTGGCACATGAAGCATGATTAGCAGATCCAGGCAGTGCAAGGGGATGCAACTCTTCACAAGAAAATTACAATGCAATAGTAAACCCAAGCCCGTGGGCACCACACAGCTATACAAGACTAGTGTGAAAGTGACTAATTGAGAGGGTGAGTGAGTGAGTGAGTGACGTACTGGTTGTGTGACGTTCTGGTGCTGGTTCTGAGTCATGGCCTGGTTTCCAGCATACAGCGGCAGCTGAGGAGAAGGAGGAGAGTAAGGGTTGGTGCCCGCATTCGGGTCGTGAAACATCATCATGGCGGAATGTGAGTAGCGCTCATGCATTCTCCTCAAAACCAAGTTAAAAAATACCCATTTTCCCACAACTATATTTTACTCTGTCATGGCTGGGGAGTACTGCAACATACAGCCATCCAAGTGTGGGTGTTCTTTAACTTATTGAGTAGTATATACATATACAGCTGTCCAGAAAGGTGGTGTTCAACAAACAGGGGTGGAAATAACTTTAAAATTGCTCGTGTACTCCAGTACAGTGGCACATGTAAAATCACTTGCCCTGATAATTTTTCCACTATACCGGCTGTTTTCTTGTTGATTTTTTAAATAAACAACATAATTAATATTGGAAAGTCAACTGGACACCAGTACAGTGTGATATACAAATTTGCTTGCCCAACAGAAAAAAACACTGGACTCGGTCGTCGGGCAATGGGTTATTTCCACCCCAGACAAACAAGATAACACATTTAAGCATATCAAAAAGATTCTGATGTTATTGGTTTTACCTGCTGCAGAATTTGTCCATTCTGTCCCTGAAGCTGTATAGTCTGTGGGAACTGGCCCTGAAGCTGTATAGGTTGTCCCTGGGGGAGGGTCTGCAGCATGAAGGACTGCCCTTGCAGGAGGCCATTCTGCCCCAGCTGGATCAGCTGACAACATAACACATGGTCAGGGCTGCATGTTAAACTCTGGGGGATCTAAGTGGACACTTAATTTGCAACACAATACCTTTAACATCAAGTTAATGTTGTTTATCTTACATGAGGATTACGATTTTAAACCTTCCTTTGGCAATGATAAATTTGAGAAAAATATGTATTTTCTTCGTAATTGGGATAGATTTTAACACATTTAAGTTTTTTCCTTAACCATAAAGGTATTTCAAAACATTTGTTTAACAAAGTTCTTTCTCTATAATATTCCTGTTAACAGCTGGTGAAATGCAATTAACCTGCTTAGAAAGTCAGAACATTGTGATAACAAAACTGGGGTTTTTTCATTCCAATTTGGTAATATATTTTAAACATCTGCTTCTGGAGGCCTAGGTAAATTTGTCCATGATACAATCCACATATGACAAGTCTCAACAAATTCAATAGGTGGTCTTGTCACCAAGTCAAAAGGAGAGTCTTAGTGAGCCATTGGTACACTTTGTGACAATTAGATGTTGTTTCAAAGTAAATTTTTTACAACATCAACAAAATGATACAATGAAACCCATAACTTTTTGACATTCAGGTTTAAGTTCGCACCAAATGCCAGTACAAATTCACAAACAGGAACTACAAATGTACCTATTCATTATCTTATAACCGACAATAACAAATGTTACAGCTTGTGTTTCACTCAGAACATGACCACAAAAAGGCTTAAATGCTTCGTTTTTTGTTATTGCACTGAATTATTCGTTGTAGTACCTCCAATATTTGCGAAAATAGCAATTTTAATAAAAATTATAATGTTTAGTTTTTTCAAATTTTGGCTGCTGTGGGGACTTTGTTTTGAGTCCTATTTATATTGCTGACATTATGGACAACCTGTGAATGATTGGGTTTTTGTTTTCAGCGATGTTTCAGCAATGTTTCAGCAATATCACAGCCGTGAACACCAGAAAAGGGATTCACACATTAAACCCATCTGGTAAGACTAACCCAGGCCTTTGGTGTGACAATGAATATGTTTTAATCCCACAACCCTTCCAACGTGGAATAAACACATTATTCTCTTTTAGAATAATCATTCACCACAAACTCTCAGGTATTAACCTCAAAATATTTACATTGTGTCAGTTGGATGTCTCAAAGAATACAATCACACTGTGACTGGCAAACATTGATGTACCTGTGGTTGTGCCTGGAGTTGTCCCCCTTGCAAGGGAAACTGGATGGTCTGAAAGGGAGACTGCACCACGGATACTCCGTTTTGACTTGCATCATACGAGTTCTGCACCTGGAGCTGCTCCATCGGACCACATGGGGTCTACAACAACAAACAGGACTCAACATTAGGCATTATAAAACATGCCGACAACTAAGTTTCGAATCATTTGATTTCGTCATTTTTTTTACATTTTCCATTAAATGAAATTTCATATCATTCTTAAAATTTTGTGGTGCTATGGGCCATTAAAGTACTTCATCTGTATCAAGGCACACAAATCACTCTATTTCGATACATGAATGTATATCAATGTTATATCACTATGGCCTGTAAATAATATAACCTGTGCCTGACAAACCAGTGGTTGATATTATGAGTAATGTTGACAGGTAATTAACCTAATCACTTAGCCTCATTATTTGACCATATAGTCACAATATTAACTCACTTCTCAACAAGGGTTACACTTGTTCAATGCTATCGATCATTTATTTATCTAGAACACATATTACTTTGGTTTTAAATCCTTCACTTATTTACGGGGAGAATCAATCACAACCTACAAATACTAACAGCAATAAAACTATAGCTTAATGGCATATTCCATACACACACTCATTGATAAACAATACATAAAAACGGCAAACCTATCAGCTTAGGCTGTCAGTCAATCAATCAAATGCTCAATAAACAATATGCTAAAAATAGTTTGGGATATATATTTCTCACAACAAGGATATAAATATTTAATAAATGTAGATTTGTGTCATCCATATAATCACGTATCAGTTCAACAGCTTTACAACCAACCTAAATACTTCCTTATTCCAACCTCACAGCCATGTACTGGCCTCAAATAAACGGTTCCTCAATCCTCCACTAGCTCAATACAAAATGTACATTGGCAATAAAACTGATTGATTACAACACATATAAGCCATAAAACAAAGAATGATAATGCCATCACCACCCCACAGCGACAAAAGTGTTTACATCTATTCAACAACAATGCTTTCTTCACTACATGTTAATTCATACCACTCAAATAAATACTTTCTAGACCTACCTTTGGAATGAAAAAAAAAGAAAAAGATTTTGTTAGCTGGACCAGTCAAAGACCACACGAGTCTGAATCAATTATAAAAGCTGTCTTATTGACTGAGGTATCTCGTCAAGACATTGAACACATGGGGCACTTCCTTTCGATGTTGGCTCATGTAATTGGTCTGCTCTGTGTGGTTTTATAATGTAAAAAAATATCATTCATAAAATTTGGCATAAAAATAATCATGTAAATAATTCAGCTGTCGATTGAACTCATGTCTACCATGGATATGCGGAAATTATCTGGGCTTCTTGAGGATTTTCTATACCGGAACAATGAAGTGAAAGGAGTGTTTCCCCATGTTATTTTGAAGTAGTCTATTCCGTTATGTTTGTATTAGGAAATAAGGACATACCCAAACAACGTCTACCTTGAGTTTACTCGCCCACTCGCTGTCAAATTGATTTTTACATCATGATGCGTAGTTCGTACAATGGGATCTAACATTGAAGGGGGATAGTTGATCTAATCGGTCACTACCAAACAATTCCATTGAGATTGGCCAGTCACTGGGTGAGATCCCGGCAAATTTTGAACACTACAGAGTAAAGATAGTACTCTAGAACGTAGAAACAGCTCCATTCACTCATATTTGTACGTGAATCAACAAAAACAACACGGTACATTCGTTGTTCTTACGAGAACATGTGAAAACAAAGACAATGACCTAAATTCTCGTGATTCCGAATAAATTTGCACGAGCCATCGAGATTCACGTGCGCTTTCCCGTACCAAATGTATTTTCAAAACATTCAAATATCTCGACAAATACGCAAGGAGTACACACAACGATTACAGAAGCACAATGAATAAGAAGATAATTTGCGGACTTACATTGGGCCGGTGATTTCAGTGCGGTGCCGAGGTGATTGGTTATGGAAATCAAGCCGAGATGGACAACGAATCATGAGAAACTACCCTTGCGCACCTCGTCCGCCATTGGCTCTGGCCATTATATACAAGCCCTCCCTCGTTGAAACAAGTCGTTGCAAAGTCTTTTCCTCTTACATTACAATTTTATCTACAACTTCACAGAAATGGTGATATATAGTTTATTTGAAGTCTGTTTCATTATAAACGATATAAATATCGTAACTCAAACTCAAAATTACAATTTTTGAAGTCACACGAGGGGGTGCTACCGGTTGATAGAACAGCTGAATGCGAGGTCACGAAAATGTCACCGCCTGTCAATAATCACCACGTGACAGACAGCACATGGAAGATGGGCTATGGCAGAGAGTTGTGCGAGTGAGAATGAGGGGTTGCATCGCCGTGTTTATTCATGGGTATTGCATTGCGCTTACTAAAACCACATTGCATGTTTTTGTACGGTAAAGACGGCTGTACACGCAGCTGATTGCGGTTTTACCTGTCTGTTATTGCTAACTTTGAATTTGAGCGTCGGAGTTAGAGCCACATGTTGCATTTCCTTTGGCTACCGGAAACCGCCATGGTCGCAAAACAGCGTTTCACATGTGTAAGAATGTAACATGTCTGCGGCAAAGGCGTGAATAAAATGAATCGTTACCAGTGCGCAAAGCCTTGTATAGAGTCAGATCGTGTCTGCGTATGTTCAGTTTCAGAATCACAATGATATGTTCAATCATTACTACTTGCACGGTTGGCTGCATCGACCCTGTTGACAGTGATTGTGGGCGGAGTCTAGCCCACGTTTCTTGACAGTTGGTGTTGAAGGGTTTGTCTTGTTGACATAGGATACTCACTGGAAGAGCCCCGCGATGCAGAAGATTGTCTACCACTCACTATCAGTCTATCACACTCAGTATACTTATTGACAATGATGATAGTCTTTGAAACCTCTATGAGCTCCTGTCAAAACTTAATTATTATGTCCATTCAATCAATACCATTGTATGTAGTCCAGCATATAACTAGACGACTTTGCACTATACCATGGTGTGCTATGTAGGCCTTGGCTGGAATACGAGTGTATTCATATGAACTACCATTGTACCATTGTATGATGTGTTAACTGTAAGGTTCCATGGAGACAGGTATGTTAGAGCAGAGACCATATACGGAGACACCATTGCCCTATTGTCTTGTCAAACTCAAAGTCCCATTTAAAAAAGAAACATATTTTCTGATCCAAAATATAACATATATGTCCCATTCAAAAGGTTCCAAATGCTACAAAATGTGTCGCTGCATGTGAGGCTATAGCTTGCAACTTCAGTGTAGTGGAAGGGGGGTAAAGGGGTAAAAAGACAGTGGCGATTATTCCAGATTTTATTTTGTCTGTTCGCTGGCAAGCCCTGTGAAGTTTTTTGTAACTCTTGGCTTTGAAATTGGTGGCCCACGTGACAACTCCCAACATCAAATGAAATACATGTTTGTGTGTTGCTGCATGCTTTTTGGAGAAATGTATTTGCTTTGAAAATAGGTTTCATTCTTGTTAGAAGAAAAATAAATCATAAGTTCAGTTTTACCTTTCAAGGTAATTTCAATACCCTTACATTCAGTGTAGATACCTTTGCATCCATTCTCAAGTTTTGTTTCATTTATACATAAACTCATACACACAGTGCAGTGCATCTGGTGTCCCCTGGAATGTTGCTAAAGGCGGAATAACCAAACTGAGTCACTCATTGCAGTGCAATGTTTTGTGATCAGTGAAACATGACTCCTTGTTAGAAAATGAGATAGCTGATGAAAATAGTGTGATTGCAGTCATTTAGAGAAGTGCGCATTGTAGTTCATTACGTAGAAGTATTTCCTTTAGGCATGCTCTGAAACCTGTGTTGGTGGATTGGAATCCCGGGTAGTGCCATTGTAGTGTTATCGGGGTTGTCAGTGTGGTATCAGCTATTCTAGTATGAACTGTACAACCCTAAATGGGCCTCTATCCCCAACAGGGCCCCAGTGCTATTTATAGTGTGAGGGGGAATAACTCTGATTGCCCTTGTTCTAGTCAGTTGAGAGCACATGGCCACTGCCTTGCCATGCTTGTTATGTAAGCCCATCTTGAGCTAGTATAAACCCACATACTTCAGTGATAGTTGTCCTTCATATCACCACATGGTGTCAGAAGTGGTTCAAAGCTCATCATGGCAAACTTTCAGATCACTCCACCTGAATCTTTTGACTTTTCTAACCCTGAAAGTTGGACTAGTTGGATCAGAAGATTTGAGAGATACCGAATCACTTCCAGGCTATCTACTAAGGACTCTACAACTCAGGTGAATCAGTTATTGTATCTAATGGGTGCTGAAGCAGATGATATTCTCCCTACGTTTTCTCTCAGTGAGGATCAAGAAAATGACTATGATACAGTAAAGCAGAAATTTGATGATTATTTCTCAGTGCGCAGAAATGTGATATTCGAGAGGGCGAAATTCAATCAGCGATGCCAAAAAGAGGGAGAGCCTGTTGATTCCTTCATCACTGATCTGTATTCTCTTGCTGAAAATTGCAATTATGGTTCTCTTCATGACGAGATGATCCGAGACAGAATAGTTGTTGGAATTCGTGATATGAGACTGTCAGAAAAACTCCAGCATGATTCTAATCTCACTCTACAGTCTGCTGTTAGTCATGTGCGCCAGTCAGAAATTATTCACAAACAGCAACCAGTTATTCGTGGAGCTACAAGTAAGCCTGATGTAACTATCAATTCCAATGTGGAAGAAGTGGTGTCTCCATCAGCAAAATCCAAGAGATGACAGCACAAGCCAAAATCAAAGAAATCTTGTCCATTCATTGATCGCTCCAAGCCTAAACCAACATGCAAATATTGTGGAAAGAATTCTCATTCTAGAAGTGAGTGTCCTGCATCTAATTCTACGTGTCGCAAAAGTGGGAAAGCCGGACATTGGGATGTTGTGTGTCGAAGTTCTAAATCTAGACTGTCAGAAGTCAGATCTACTCCGAAGTCTCCTACTACAAATGAGCCTGAGTATGCCTTTGTCGGGATGCTCAGCACAAGTTCATCTCAGCCATGGACTGTAAACCTGAAGATAAATTCATCTGTCACAGAAGAATTCAAGATCGACACAGGGGCTGACGTTACAGTAATTCCGTATGATGTCTACACATCTCAGTATCTTCCCCATCTACGGAGAAGCGACAAAAGGCTGTATGGTCCCTCAAACTCCTGTTTGAGTGTTGTTGGAAAGTTTCTCGCCAAACTCAAGTGCATGAACAGGGATGTTGAAACAGAACAAGACATATATGTCGCCAGAGGTCTCAAACGTTCTCTACTTGGTAGACCGGCAATCGAAGGACTGCACCTCATCGAACTCATTGATAGTGTTACAGGTGACAAATGGAAGGAACATTTCCCAGAACTTTTCTGTGGATTAGGGAAAATGGAGGGCTTAATACACCATCAAACTCAAGGAGAATGCAAAACCTTTTGCAATTTCTACACCTAGACGTGTACCACTTCCTCTCATGGGCCGTGTGAAACGTGAACTTCAGTCTATGGAAGACAACGGCGTCATATCGAAGGTCGATGTTCCTACTGAGTGGTGTGCCGGCATGGTAGTGGTTCCCAAGTCCTCGGAAAGAGTAAGGATTTGTGTTGATCTCACCAAACTAAACGAATCTGTTAGACGTGAAAATCATCCACTCCCAGCTGTAGATCACACTCTCAGTCAGTTAAGCGGAGCAAGAGTATTCACCAAACTTGACGCTAAACTCAGGATTCCATCAACTCCTATTGTCTGAAGAATCCAAACTTCTCACTTGTTTCATTACACCTTTTGGTCGATATTGCTTTAATCGACTCCCGTTTGGCATTTCGTCTGCACCTGAACTCTTTCAGAAGAGAATGCAACAAATCTTAGAAGGACTGGATGGTGTCGTTTGTCAAATGGATGACATTCTCACATATGGGCGTGACGACAATGAACACGATCAGCGTGTTGAAGCAGTCTTATGCAGACTTCGGGACGCAGGTGTAACTCTCAATAGTGACAAATGTCAGTTTTCCAAATCACAAGTGAAATTTCTCGGACACATCATCGATCAAAGTGGTATTCGAGCCGACCCAGATGCCAGAACCACAGAATGTTTCAGATATCCGAAGGTTTCTCGGAATGGTCAACCAACTTACAAAGTTTGTTCCAAATCTTTCCTCCATCACGCAGCCTCTTCGTGAACTCCTTGTCAAGGACCGACAATGGATATGGGAGGAACCTCAGTGGACTCCTTGTCAAGGACAGACACTGGATATGGGAGGACCCTTAGTGAACTCCTTGTCAAGGACAGACAATGGATATGGGAGGAACCTCAGCGAGCTGCATTTCAGTCAATCAAATCTCAACTCACATGTGCTCCAGTTCTTGGACATTATGACCCAAATGCGGAGACAGTGTTGTCAGCTGACGCATCTTCCTATGGATTGGGTGCGGTAATCTCGCAAAGATGTGACAATTGAGTGCACAAACCAATCGCATATTGCTCCCGCTCGATGACAGAGACAGAGAAGGCCACGCACAAGTAGAAAGGAAGCACTAGCCATTACTTGGGCATGCGAACGCTTCGAGATTATCTACTGGGAAAATACTTTCACATCAATACTGACCACAAACCTCTTCTGGCTCTTCTTGGTAACAAGTCTCTTGACCAACTCCCACCAAGAATACAACGATTCAGAATGCGCTCTCATGGCATATTCATATGACATTTCTCATGTTCCTGGGAAGCAGTTGTATTCTGCAGATGCGCTCTCCAGAGCTCCTCTTAACTTGCCACTCTCCACTGTGGAATCTTGTCTTCTAGCGGACACAAACATCTACGTTGACTCAGTCTTAGCAAACTTACCTGCTTCTGATCAGCGTCTGGATGAAATTAGCTCTCAAGTTGCGCCAAGACCCTGTCTGTTCACTCATCATGAAATACTGTCTCGAGGGATGGCCAATTTATACATCTCTTCCAAACTGCACAAGATCTTACTGGCCTTATCAAGGAGAACTTTCCGTGGTCGAAGGGCTCTTACTGTTCGAAAAAGGCTAGTAATTCCATCTTGCATGAGAGCAGAAATGCTTGATATCATTCACTCTACTCACCAGGGCATAACCAAGTGTCGTGGCTCGTGCAAAGGAATCTGTATGGTGGCCAGGACTTAGTTCTCAGATCGAACAAGTCGTTATGAGTTGTCGTGACTTGTGCTCGTGGTCGACCTAACTCTCATGAGCCACTCATCCCGTCAGAAATTCCTACTGGTCCATGGAGTAAGGTATCCACTGACCTGTTTGAAATCAATTCAAGTCCATACCTGCTTGTCATAGACTACTACTCGAGTACATCGAGATAGCCAAACTCACCAGTACAACTTCAGCATGTGTTGTAAACCATCTGAAATCCATCTTTGGAAGACATGGAATTCCTGATATCGTCGTCTCTGACAACGGTCCTCAGTACTTTCGTCATACATCTTCAAGGCGTTCTCAGAGGACTACTGTTTCAGTCACATCACGAAGCAGTCCGAGATATCCTCAAAGCAACGGAGAAGCCGAAAGAGCTGTCAAAACCATCAAACAGACTTTGAAGAAAGCTGACTGACCCATATTTGGCATTGCTAACTTACAGAAGTACGCCTCTGCAATGTTGTTACAGTCCAGCGCAGTTGTTGATGGGGCGTAATCTACGCATAACTCTTCCTGTTCATCCATCACAACTTGAACCTCATTTGCCTTCTTCACAAGAAGTTGATTCATCTTTCAAGCAATCTAAACAGCGACAAAAGTCTGACTACGACTCAAGTCACAGAAGTCACAATCTTCCACCAGTAAAGGAGGGAGATAAGGTGTTAGTTGATGATCCTGAAGCAACTCGGGAAGCCGAAGTATACAAGAAAGCAAACACTCCACGTTCTTACTACGTGAAGTCAGGCGACAATCTCCTGAGAAGAAATCGAAAACATCTTGTATTGTTGCCACAACAACAGCAGTCAACTTCACATCGCTCAGATCTACTTCAATCTCCAGTCTCCACTCAGCCGCAGTCAAGCAGTGACATTCCTCCAAACAGTACAGTCACCAGTTCAGGAAGGGTGTCCACCAAGCCAAACAGACTTGACCTGTAGTGCAGTGTAGTGTGTGTCAAGCCAGACCAGTGACTTTTAAAGTCTAGGGTTCTAGGGATAAGATAAATCTATCCTAGTGTTCTTTTTCAGCTTATGGACATTTAAATGTGCATGCCACTTAGCATAAAAGTTATTTCTTTGATTATTTCATACACAGCCATGTCCACATTAAGTTACTCGTTATTTCTGGCTTGTTCACTGATAAGTGTTCTATTCTTACAAAGGGGGATGTGGTATCAGCTATTCTAGTATGAACTGTACAACCCTAAATGGGCCTCTATCCCCAACAGGGCCCCAGTGCTATTTATAGTGTGAGGGGGAATAACTCTGATTGCCCTTGTTCTAGGCAGTTGAGAGCACATGGCCACTGCCTTGCCATGCTTGTTATGTAAGCCCATCTTTAGCTAGTATAAACCCACATACTTCAGTGATAGTTGTCCTTCATATCACCACAGTCAGCACAATATGGGGTAGCCTAGTGGTTAAAGTGTTGTCTCATCACGCTGAAGACCCGGGTTCGAATCCCCACATGGGTACAATGTGTGAAATTCAGTCAGTCAGTCAGTCAGTCAGCACAATATATGTTCTCAGGAGACGCACTTAAGTGATAAGGGTGAATTTTTACCACCAACAGTTCATATAATTAATTGGTATGTTCAGGGTGCAAACAGTCATGGTCAGCTTGCCCAAGGACATCAGGAGGATGTTCTTGAACCAAGGGAAATAACTTGCGTGCCTGATGACATCCAGAGTATCTGTGGAGGAGGAGGACACACGCTGGCAATAACAAGTGAGAACTGTTTTGATGTTGCCCTTCTGTCAGTGTGTGGTCCATCTTGTATTTGCCCAGACCAGTCAATACACTTTGTGACGGGAGACTCGTTGGGCCGTGGAGAATATTTCTGTCTGATGTGAAGGTGTTCCTGTTTTCAGGCATAGCCTCATGGGGATTCTGAACCCGTGATGATCCGGGTTAGAATTGATCTAGTAACGCATGTTTGTCGTAAGAGGTGACTAATGGGATCAGGTAGTCAGGCTCACTGACATGGTTGACACATGTCATCATATCCCAATTATGTAGATTGATGATCATGCTGTTGATCACTGGATTGTGTGGTCCAGACTCGATTATTTACAGACAGCTGCCATATAACTGGAATATTGCTGAGTGTGGCCTTATTCTAAACACACTCACTCACTCACTCATGGGGATCCTGGGTTAAAATTTATCCTTAGTAACCCATGATTGTTGAGAAACACCATTAGTGAAGACCCTATTGATGTGGAAACCTGTCTTGTGGGCTGTAACAGATGGAAACAGTTACTAGTACATGTGTGCAGGGTGATATCTGTGCCCATCATTTGTCCAGTCCATAGCCAAATGGGAACGATGAATTGCAAAATACGTAATGTAAAGGTAGGAGACAGTTCAGAAACAGCAATTTGTGACAACATTGGAGTAACAATTGACTCATGTTGAATCTCTGAAATTAAATAAATGATGATTACATTTAAATTTAAGGACTCCACAGGGGATTACCTAAGGAGACTTGCTTCATTTATTGAGACTTGCTTCATTTTGGGCTTTTTGCATAAAAGTAAGGGCTGGGTAGAAGGAAAGTTTCATGGCCTGTGAGACTGACAGTAGTAACATGAAACATGCCTTGTTGAGACCAAACGACATTGGTTGGCTGGTTGGTGTTTAACGCTGCACTCAGCAATATTCCAGCTATATGGCAGTGGTCTGTAAATGATCGAGTCTGGACCAGACAATTCCAGTGATCAACAGCATGAGCATCGATCTTCGCAGTTGGGATACAATGACACGTGTCAACCAAGTCAGTGAGCCTGAGCCTCTTACGACAAGCATGGGTTGCTGAAGGCCAATTCTAACCCGGATCTTCATGGGTTAAACCAAATGGCAGAGTAAGTTGCTTAGTTAAATTATTGCATTGAATAATTTCTGTGTTTGTCTGATGGGATGTCTGTTTTCGCAGAAAAGGGCAGGTTGCTTTCGTGTGGATCTGATGAGAAAGGTCAGGCAGGTCAAGGTCATGATAAGACGTCCTTGACGTCAGTGGAAGCCCTGAAAGATCAACAGATTATACAGGCAGCTGGTGGTTGGGATTTTACCCTTTCTCTGTCAGGTAAGTTGTCATGTCTATTGAAATTAACTATTGCTTCTGTTGAACTTGTTCGGAGCCCAGTTCAAAACAATGGAATTTAAGGTCAGGATGGTGATCCTACTACAACAGATTGTTAAAGTATGTGAGTTAAAACATGCACAACAGCCATAGTTAGGATTGCTTTGAGAAAGGGATCCACAAAGCTTATTATGTCATGCAAAAGGTGGGTAGTGTAGCACAATATTCAATTTGCCTGGCTCTTCAATGTTGGGACTTTGAAAGGCTTTGAATTCTAGTGTATTCAGACTGGGAAAAGAGGTTGGTGGTGTAGCCTATTGTTCAAGCTTTTGCTCATCACTTTGAACACCCAGGTTTGATTCCACCAAGGGTACAATATGTGAAACCCATATCTGGTGTCCCTTGCCGTCGATATTTTGGAATATTGCTAAAAAGCGGTGTAAAACTGAATTCACTCACTCTGGGTAAAGAAAGTAGATCACCCTGAAGTGAAGCTGGATTATGATTGGTCTGATCAGCCTGGGCTGTTAGATGAGGTGTGGGCGGTGGGGTAGCCTAGTGGTTAAAGCGTTAGATCACCCTGAAGTGAAGCTGGATTATGATTGGTCTGATCAGCCTGTGCTGTTAGATGAGGTGACACAAAGCAGCAGGTGACTCCAGACCTGGCTGGTTGGGTATCAGAACCTAATGGTTCATAATATCAAATACTGGTTGGTCTGATCTGGGCCAGAGTATTCACACTGGATGTCATGGTATAGTTGTTTTATCTGTAACCATGGTGTTAAACAATGCCAACATGTTAAAGTGACCTTGACATTCCTCTTCCTCTTGAATCCAGTGACAGGAGAAGTGTTTTCCTGGGGTTCCAATGCATTTGGGCAGCTTGGATCTCGGACTACAAAGTCTTCTTCTATTCCTGTGAGTAGATATTTGATCACATTCAATACTGTTCAAAAACCCTTTATTTTGTTTTGTTTGTTTTCCTTTTTAGGTTTATAAAAAATATTCTTGATTCTCTCAGTGCAAAATCTAAAACAGAGTTAAAGATTCTCTTCCATGTTAAAAAGTCTTTTACAGTTTTAACAAATTACTTGAGGTGTGGTCTTTTTAGGTTAGGGTGGAAATAGAAAATATGTTATTTCCTGTCTGAGGCTGTTTGTGCTGTTCTGTATAGATGGCGGTGAACATTCCTGGCAAGGTTGTGGATATTGCTGCAGGCCTGAGACATGCGGTTGCTACTACAGGTAAGGAAAGTAGGAACAGAACGTCATGTCCTATTGAGGAGCATAGGGCCTCAACAGTTGTCCTCCATGCTTGCCAGTCAGTGGCTATGCTCTTGGTAGCCTCCCAGGTTAAACCGGTTTCCCTCAGTTCCTTTTCCAGGCTTTGTCTCCAGGTCTGTTTTGGATGTCCTCTTTTGTCTATTGATAATCCCTTGTAATGTTTTATTATGATTCTATGAATTCTGAATGAGTTTAGAAATGTAATTTTATAGAAAAGCTATGATTAATGTGTAATTTTGAAAATGTTAAGTTTCTCTGGCCTCATTCCATGAAGCCATTTCTGTGACAATCGATTGACAGTTTGTACACAGTAATCAGCCTTGAGAACACATGGATGCTTTGCAGTGTAGTGCTCCCACCACTGAGGTCTTAGCTCACATCACACAAACTGCAATATATTCCACTTGATGTGTAATTGTGATCGTGTGAAGTGAAGACCTTTTAAAAGAAAGCATTGTTGTTGCAGAATCGGGGCAAGTCTATACCTGGGGTCAAGGTCGGAAAGGTCAGCTTGGAGTTGATCTGCCGCCAAAGGTGCAAAAAGTCGAACTACCAACTGAAGGTGTGTGTTATTGGCAGTCACTGTAAGATGTTGTATGGGTAATAGCTCATGTACTTAAATATGTGTCTGTGTATGGTAATAGAAAATTCTTTTAACATGGAGGGCACAATGTGTGAAGCCCATTTCTGGTGTCCCCTGCCGTGATATTGCTGGAATATTGCTAAAAGCGGTGTAAAACTAAAACTCAGTCAGTCTTTTAACGTGGTACTCATTCCACAAAGCGATCGTAGCTCAAAGATGATCGTAACTCCAATACTTGAACAAAAACTTGCGACTGCCGTTGTGGAACGGGCACCAGGACTATCAGCCTGTGACTCGACAATTGGTGTGATCATTGTACAAAGCCAGATGGGGTTCGGTAGTCAACAATGAAAAATTCATCATCTAACACTGCTGTTTGCAATTCCTGCAATATATAAATAATGGAAATATGTTGCCATTGTGGACTCAGATTTGGTAATGGAGACCATGATCACATCAATTTCACGCTGAAAAGAAGAATCTGGCATTTGTTTGAATTGAGTGAACAATGATTTTAATCAAGTTTGATAGTATTAAAATTAAGTGGCACTCTTTACCATAAATAAAAACAACAGGATTTTGGTGTATTTCAAAAAGAGTTCTTTAATTAAAATATTTTTCCTTATCCTGACTCATGTATTATTGCTTGTCTCCTTCCTTTCCCGAACGTTAGTGGAACACTTGTATCTCCTTTTTGAAGCTCCCTTCAATAAAGCAGACGTAAAATCACTACTCACCACGAGTTGTCTCCCTCTCAGTTTTGGCGGGAAAACGGCGCCACCCGTCTTCCCTCTCTTCACTCTCTCCTTCTTCGCCCTAGTGGACGGTTGGGAGAGCACCTGTCTCTCCAACACGGCACTATATCCTTTGATAACTTAGTTATTTCCCTATTAGTTACCTTTATAAGGTTTCAGGGAGTATCCTTCTACAATATGGTTTGAAATTTATTAGTAATTTGACTGTTTATTCACGGTTTTACGTGATTGTTCAGTTTGTTTACATTTCATGAAAACCTGTTTTCGTTGTAGGTTTAGGTTATCTGCTGCAGACCCGCATTTATTGTGCCCCAGTTGCACAACAATATGTACTTCCAGCTCTCGCTGTAAATTATGTCAGCAATTAACACAAATTGAATTTAATAATTATTATTTCTCTGTACTTAGGCGTGCTAAGGATAAATCCTGTCGACTTTTGCAAGTCATGGCTAAACCGGCTGAGTCCCTAAAGAGCTGTCTATCGTTGTCAGACGACATACTTCCATCCAGTGACCTGCCGGAGGTGTCCTCAGAAGATGGGCATGGGATGATGTCCTCCGCCATTACGTCGAAGAAAATGTCTTCTAACGTTGGACAACTCCTCAACCCATATGAAGAAAAAGAGGCCATCTTTAACGCAGAAGAAGCCTTACACCCCTAAGGCTTCAACCAGCTCTACGGGGAGTTCTTCACAGACTATGAGGACTTTTTCGGCCGAAATCATCCCTATGGAAGAGAGAGGCTTATATGATGAGCCGTTGTTGATCATCCCAGAGATACAACATAAGAAAAGGAAGCAGGCCTCAGCAACGGTAACGTCAGCAGCCCTCTCTACGCAGTCCGAGTTACCTTCTACACTGACAGCAGAGATCCATGAGGCACAGCGATCCCTGGACCATATCGCTACCATCTCAGATACGACATCACATTCAACCCCAGGGCCTTTATGCTGCAATTCTCTCAACAAATGATGGAGATGATGGAGAAGCGCTTCTCACAGGAAAGAACATCGCATGATGGACAGCCAGGCGGCTCTCATGCTCAAGTCATCAACCTCAGAGAGGATCCAGTGCTGCACGAAGGACCCCACACTGATGATACATCTGAGAGGCCTACCAGAGAATCTAGCTCTAGGACTAAGAGCAGATCTACACTACATGACATCAGCAAACCTGCCCGAAGGACGGCACGCTCTTCAGAACCCAATAGATCGTCATCAGATGATGAGACTAATGAAGAACCTTCATGCAGGCTACCCACTTCACAGAGGAAGAAACCTACACCTCCTAGAAGGTTTAGAGAGACGTCATGGGACTCAGACCCTCAACAAAACCTCTCACCTGCGTGAAGGTCATCTGAATTATCTTCAAGGGCGTCAACAACACCTCGCAGGTCGTCACGGGATTCACCACTTAGGAATACATTGCCAGGAAGGCAATCCCAGCCTAGAAGACGCTCACCTCCACGCAGGTCGCCATACAGATCGCCTCTTAGAACGACACGTAGTTCAACATATTCATCCCTACACAGATCGCTAGTAGATCGCCTCACAGATCCCCAACAAAGGACATTCAACGATCTTATACCAGTGGACATGATACAGAGGACGATGGGGTTTATCATATTTTCGGACTCAGAGATAAAATATTGGATGGCTAATGGACTGGACCTAGCGTCACCCTCTAAGGAAGAGAATGAAGCATTTACGTACCTAATGAAGGACGATGATGTGGACACTATCACTCTACCTCCAATTGAGCCGATCTCGGACGTACCAGAGGACTTGGATGCAGCCTTCAGAAAAGCAGCTAAGTTCCAGTCTCCTAATATCCCACAGTTCAACGCAAAGAAGTTCTCACTACACAACATGGATCCCTTTATGAAGGCACAAGAAATAGATGAGAACTATAAAATCATCAACGACTCCTGGACCAAATCTTACAAGATTGATAACAAAAAGCTGGCACAGATAGACACTATGACCAGAAGGATGTTCTTCGGACTTAACAGATCCAGGACAATTAATGAAACGCTCATCGCCAAGTTCAGGGACTCTACTGCAGAAGAAGACCGGATGATTTATTCTGCCCTACTAACGCAGAAAAAGGACCACCAATTCATGTCGGAGCATTTATCATCCATATCAGCAGCATTGATGCTCGCTAGAAGACAAGGACTATTGTCGTCATGTGACTGGAGTGAACGCTTAACTAAGACTCTGTACAGAGCTCCATGGTCTCCAACATCCATCTTCGCAGGGGAGATTGACGAGGTTGCCAAGGAAGTCACTAAAGAATCAAGGGAAGTCTTGATGATCAGTCCATTGATACACTAGCCAGTGTCATCAGACAGACGTCCCAACGCTACTCTGGCAAATCTAAATTTGCAGGCATCCAGAAAGCAAGAGAAAAAGAAAATGGGGACTTCCAAAGGAGGAAAGGATTCTTTTAAATTAAGCCCATCCGGCAACTATAGAGGACGATCCGGACGAGGCAGGGCAACCAGAGGTGCCAGAGGCTATAGATGATGAAGGACGGGTTCCGAACGACTGGAGTCTTCCACCCCCAGCCGTTCCTGTTCAACCTTCCCAAGTGGGTGGACGTCTACAACGCTACTGGGAGAACTGGGGAATTCTTCAAGATCAATTTGTATCCAACATCCTAAGAGACGGATATCACATACAACTACAAGCAGCCCCTCCATTAACAAGCGCACCACAGAGGTTCAACTTTGCAACCCATCGGACAGAGAGGCTACGAGAAGCGGTCACATCTCTACTAGAGAAGGACACTATAGAGGTGATAGACCAGGACCAGATCTCACCAGGATTCTACTCCCCAGTTTTCCTCGTACCAAAGAAAAACTCCAAAGAAAAGTTCTGACTAATTTACAACATGAGGACATTCAACAGAGATTATCTACGCAAACCAGCAAAGTTCAACATGATTCATTTGCCTCAACTACTACATCTCATCCGTCCGCTCGACCACATGGCCAGCATAGATTTACAGGACGCATACCTGCATATTCCTATACATCCGGAATCAAGGAAGTACCTCAGATTCCTACTAGACGGACGACACTACCAATGGAAAGTCCTGCCATTTGGAATATCATCGGCCCCCTGGTTGTTTACAAGAGTGACGAAGCCCATAGTCACATACCTACATCATCGAGGTCTACGCAGTGCGTTCTACCTAGACAACGGGATTCAGGCTCATCAAGATCCCAGTCATCTCAGACTACAGCTGGACTTTACCATCAGGCTTCTCACTCAACTAGGGTGGCTAGTGAATCTCCTCAAGTCGGAACTAGAGCCTACACAGGACCTGCAGTTCCTAGGAATTCGGCTCATCACAACAGAAAACCGCATAACAGTACCAGAGGACCGTTGGCTAAAGATACAACAGATGGTATCTCAAGCTCTACTCTCTCCGTGGCTACTCTGACAGTGGCAGAGCCTGTTGGGTCTCCTCACGTCAGCACAGGATATGACGCGCAGAGGGAGATTACAACTACGCCCACTACAGGTCTTCGTAAATGTACATGTGGACGATCCGGACCCCTTCGGACTCCCGGACAGACTAAAACCATATCTACTATGGTGGACTCAGAGATCGAATGTTTGCGGAGGCACCTTCTTAGCAGAGCCGGAGTGCAAGACGCATCTCTATGTGGACGCATCTCTCCAAGTGTCAGCTGGGAAATGGACAGTACAAGAGAAAGATCTGCACATCAACATGCTAGAAATGAAAGCAGTGATAAACTCCATACTCCACTGGACCAGCATTTTAAAGAATGCTCATCTAACGGTACACACAGACAACTCCACAGTGGCGTTCTACATAAACAAACATGGATCAACAAGGGGGGGGGAACCTTCTGAACCTTTGCTTTCATCTGTTCAGCAAAATGGACAACCTGAACATCCACATAAAAGCATGCCACATTCCAGGAGCCAAGAATGTGATAGCAGACGCACTATCTCATCCAACTCAGCCATCCCCAACAGAATGGATGCTACATCCACAAATCTTCAAACAGATCATACAAGAGATAGGAGCACCACTAATAGACTTGTTTGCCACAAGATTCAACAATCAACTGGTAACATTCGTCTCTCCAATACAAGATCCACGAGCATGGGCAACAGATGCTCTAAGCATCTCCTGGGAAGGACTTAACGCTTACGCGTTCCCGCCACCAGCTCTTATACCAAAAGTGTTCAGAAAATCATGCAGACGAAGAACCTACAACTGATTTTGATCGCTTCTTACTGGCCAGCGAGAATATGGTTCCCCATTCTCATACAAGAACTAGGATCTCCTCAACTGCAACTACTAGAGTGGACGAACTTGCTAGTACATCCACACACAAAGCAAGCACACGGCAACCCACAGGTGTTCCGCCTACACACATGGACCGTATCAAGGTGTGCTTGAACAAGAGAGGATGTTCCGCCAGAGCAGCGAAAGCAGTCACGCTAGCCTTACACAAGTCAACACGCAACTTGTACGACGACAAGTGGCGAAGCTTCGAGACCTACGCTTCAAAAACAGGCTTCACAGCCATGAAAGCGACACACCCTCAAGTGGCGGACTATCTTTGTCACCTAAGACAAATGAAGCGGTTAAAAGGGTCAACACTCTCAACATACCTAGCGGCATTGAGCTCAGTTATCACTATGAGGACGAGTGTAAAACTGACTAAGGTACCCGAGTTACTGGCCTTACTACGCTCTTTTAAACTGGAGGACCAACAACAGAGATTTAAAGCTCCGGCTTGGGACCTCAACATAGTTCTACGGCATCTCACCAGTGACGCTTATGAACCATTAGATAGGACATCTTTTGAGTTCTTGACGCAGAAAACTCTATTCCTGATTGCCTTAGCAACAGCAGCAAGGATGTCGGAAATACATGCTCTAGACTTTGAAAGGACGCGATTTGATGAAAATCGAAACATCGTGCACATGGGACTGAGATGGGACTTTAAAGCAAAGAATCAACTGCCAGGTCAACCAGACAGACAATTCCACATCCCAGCACTATCATCAGTCCTTGGGCCACAGGATACACAGGACCTATCCTTGTGCCCAGTAAGAGCATTAAAAGTCTACCTACAAAGGTCTAGGACCAGGAGACGAAAATTCAAGCGTCTTTTCATTCCTATATCGGCAGAGACATAGACTGAGATCTCTTGCACTACGATATCTATATGATGAGAACTGTCATTCTACGGGCCTACAAAGCAGCAGGACTTGATCCTCCAAGAGCCTCCAATCCACATGAAATTAGAGCTCTGGCGTGAACACTCGCTCTACATGGAAACTGCTCTATCACAACGATAATGGAGGGCTGCTTCTGGAAATCGGACATGGTGTTTGCCAACCACTACCTGAGAGACATCGCCACTGAGGACGTCTCTGGCATTCACCATTTCGGCCCACTTGTTGTAGCACAACAATTGACAGTTCCACAGAGGCGCTGAGACAGAGTCTCGCCCTTTTATCACATGACTTGCAAAAGCCTACACTCAAGAGAGTTACAGCTTTAGAGTCCATATGCACGTCTAAGACAGACTAGCATAAGTGATATGACCCAGTACTTGTAAGGACGTACTCATACATAAAAAGGGTCGCTTCTCCACTTGATGCTTGCATCAAGAGATGGAGTTGCAAAAATCAACATAAAAATGTTAACAGAAGCAAGGACCAAAAAATTGTGGTCCCCCCCATCAGAGAAAGCTGGAAGTAAAGGGTTACAGCAGCAGCAGAGCCTAGAAGTAAATTGAAGTGCTACCAGGAAGTTCCCATAGGGGGGTATGCAAGACGTAAATCACCAATTGGAATCCAGAAGTGGTTTGACCCACCACCAAATCCGTCGGATTCTACAAGCAATAATACATGAGTCAGGATAAGGAAAAATATGTAATTTTTGAGTAAAATTGATATTTTATACTTATCCTGACTCATGAGGTAAGCCCTCCCAACCTCCCCGCTAGGCACTTTGGATTTCCCATCAAATCGAAGTGTCGGGCTAGCAATTCGGAGAGAGTGAAGAGTGGGAAGACGGGTGGCGCCGTTTTCCCGCCAAAACCGAGAAGGAGACAACTCGTGGTGAGTAGTGATTTTAAGTCTGCTTTATTGAAGGGAGCTTCAAAAAGGAGATACAAGTGTTCCACTACATTCGGGAAAGGAAGGAGACAAGCAATAATACATGAGTCAGGATAAGTATAAAATATCAATTTTACTCAGAAAATTACATATTTTTGCAGTCATGATGCCAGGCAGGTTGTCCGCAAGACTTGCAGTTGCGGGGTCCAACCACACAGCTGTCTTGACCAGTAAGTATCACATGTGTGTTTCCCCGATGGTATGGTTAGTCTTTGTGTAAATATTAATGTCCAGATGAAAAGCAGGTGAAAGGATTATTAATATTCAAACAGTTTCCTTTAGATGAGAGAAATGTTCATTTACAAACCAGTTTGTTATTTTTGCAACACTGGCTGGCATTCAAGTACCATTGATCTGCACTGGATGGTGGCTGAGGCAATAACCTATTCAGGGAGATAACCAAGTAATTACCACTGATATTATCTCCCATTATTAACAGAACTCTTAAAAGTTGTTTGGAGAGCACAGCATGTGAAATTTTCACTGAAGAATTGGCCAGCCATTGTTCTTATAGGAGCCTGCCGATTCTCCCAAAGTTTATGATGAGCAGACACTCTGTATACATGCTACCAATTACCAGCCAGCCAGCCAGCCAGCCAGTCAGCCAGTTACTTACTCCCATAGAGCACTGCAATTTGATGTGCAGGGTTGTGTCCCTTCGGGGCCAGATGTTTATGGTCACGGGTTTGATTACGACATGTTTAGGGTTTGGTTTCGAATGCCAGATTTGCTCTGAATATTAGCCTTGGTTTGCCTGCACCTTACTCTGTGCATAAGTTTCGCTCAAAGTGCTTTACATGTAATCCTTGATTTCATATCACTCGGGGGGAAGCTTAGTGGCTAAACAGTTCACTCGTCATGCCAAATCGTATGTTCGATTCACATTGTGTGAAACCCATTTTTGGTGTCAATAGCTGTGACGATGCTAGAACATTGCTAAATGTGGTACACAACCGTACTAGGTCACATCTTCACATCCCATCTCTCTGAGACACCATGGTATAACTGAAATACTGTATACACTGACGTTAACCCCAGTTCACTAGACACTTGTTTGTACCATGTTATTTCCAGGTAGCGGTGAGGTGTGCATATGGGGCTGCAACAAACATGGCCAGGTCACCATCAGCCCAGAGACCACCTCCCAGCATGCATTGCCGTATCTTGTTCCCTCTGAAATGTTTGGTGGGAGAAGAGTGGTCTCCCTTCACTCTGGTTGGACCCATCTTGTGTCTTGCACTGGTGAGGACATATTTAAGTTGTAATAAGATTAGTCTCTATGGGGTTGAGCTTCAGGCAGGTGTTCTTTCGCTATATTTCTTTAACTGAGCTGCACAATGCATTTAGTTCATTGCTATGTCATTCCTTGCGCCTATTATGACAACTTGTTCAGCTTACAGCTTCCACCAGTCATTATGCCCCCAGGAATGTCCTGAAAAGCGTGTGCTTGAAAGCCACTGAAAAGTAATGAGCACCAATCTGTGCTACCTATTTGATTGATGTGTCAGGATTCATGTGTCAGAAGTTTTAATTTCTCAGTTATTTTGTAAAATTTGTTATTGGTGCCTTTATTTAGATAATGTATTTTTTAACCAAATAAAAAGACATTGCAACTTTCTACACTACATACAAAACTGTATGCCTAGATTTCATTGAATGGAATAATTTTAGAAAGAAAAACAAAAGACTCTTTAGGATATGTTTCCCATTTGGACTGCATACGGTTTGGAATCGTTGATAAACCTATAAAATTGTCTGAAGATGTTCTATCCTGTTTCAGAGGATGGATCAGTTTATACGTGGGGTCGTGCTGACTACGGTCAGCTTGGGAGATCATGTGACCTGTCACATGACTGGACACCTCAACCAGTCATCAGTTTGCAGAACAGTAAATCTGTGACTTGTGGATCTGAACACAACCTGGCCATTGATGGTGTGTACTTACTCTAACCTGGAAAACAAGTACTTTTAGTCTGAAAGGGTGGCAAATTTTTGTGGGGAGTTTTGCTGTCTGTGGTTCAGATCTAGATTTGCAGTGTGCGGTTCAGATCTAGATTTGCTGTAAGGGTTCAGATCTATATTTGCTGTGTGGGGTTCAGATTTAGATTTGCTGTCTGTGGTTCAGATCTAGATTGTGTGTGGGGTTCAGATCTAGATTTGTTGTGTGCGGTTCAGATCTAGATTTGTTGTGTGTGGTTCAGATGTAAATTTGTTGTGTACGGTTCAGATCTAGATTTGTTGTGTGTGGTTCAGATCTAGATTGTGTGTGGGGTTCAGATCTAGATTTGTTGTGTGCGGTTCAGATCTAGATTTGTTGTGTGTGGTTCAGATGTAAATTTGTTGTGTGCGGTTCAGATCTAGATTTGTTGTGTGTGGTTCAGATGTAAATTTGTTGTGTGCGGTTCAGATCTAGATTTGTTGTGTGTGGTTCAGATGTAAATTTGCTGTGTGGGGTTCAGATCTAGATTTGTTCTGTGCGGTTCAGAACAAGATTTGTTGTGTGCGGTTCAGATCTAGATTTGCTGTGTGGGGTTCAGATCGAGATTTGTTGTGTGTGGTTCAGATGTAAATTTGCTGTGTGGGGTTCAGATCTATATTTGTTCTGTGCGGTTCAGAACAAGATTTGTTGTGTGCGGTTCAGATCTAGATTTGCTGTGTGGGGTTCAGATCGAGATTTGCTGTGTGGGGTTCAGATCGAGATTTGCTGTGTGGTTCAGATCTAGACTTGCTGTGTGGTTCAGATCTAGACTTGCTGTGTGTGGTTCAGATCTAGATTTTCTGTGTGTGGGTTCAGATCTAGATTCACTGTGTGTGGTTCAGATCGAGATTTGCTGTGTGGATCAGATCTAGACTTGCTGTGTGGTTCAGATCGAGATTTGCTGTGTGTGGTTCAGATCTAGATTTTCTGTGTGTGGGTCAGATCTAGACTTGCTGTGTGGAGTTCAGATCTAGACTTGCTGTGTGTGGTTCAGATCTAGATTTGCTGTGTTTGGTTCAGATCTAGATTTTCTGTGTGGTTCAGATCTAGATTTGCTGTGGGGTTCAGATCTAGATTTGTTGTGTGTGGGTTCAGATCTAGATTCACTGTGTGGGGTTCAGATCTAGACTTGCTGTGTGTGGTTCAGATCTAGATTCACTGTGTGTGGTTCAGATCTAGATTTGAACAGATGATGATTCTTGGCATATTGGTGCTTATTGACTTTGTCATAGATTGACAACCTTCAACACTTTCTCGTGTGATCCCAAGGTAAAAACAACTCCACACAAACTTCTGTTTAAAAAGGAGAAGTGAACAACATTGATCATTAATTTTAAAATCATCATTAGTACATGTCCCAGGTGGATTAGTTATGGTAATGGTGAGTACAACTCTTCTTTGGAAGATGTGTTTTTCTGAGTTTTTTCTTCAGAGTCTTGAAAGTGAATTAGATGAGCTACCTTACCTAATTTATCGAGATATTGTGTTTCAGCTGACGGCCATCTTGTGACATGGGGCTGGAATGAACATGGGATGTGTGCTACAGGAGATGAAGTTGATGTCAAGGTTCCTCACAAGGTGGCAGCACTGAATGACAGGGAAGTCAGCCATATTGGATCTGGAGCTGGACATAGTTTTGTGATTCTCACCTGAACACTTGGTTGTTGGAATGCCTTGATACTTGTTATAGGAGTTCCTTGATACTTGAAACAGGAACACTGCGATACTCGATACAGGAACACTGTGATGCTTGTAACAGGAACACTGCAATACTCGATACAGGAACACTGTGATGCTCGATACAGGAACACTGTGATGCTTGTAACAGGAACACTGCGATACTCGATACAGAAACACTGTGATGCTCGACACAGGAACACTGTGATGCTTGTAACAGGAACACTGCGATACTAGATACAGGAACACTCCGATACTGGATACAGGAACACTGTGATGCTTGTAACAGGAACTCCTTGATACTTGTTAAAGGAGCTCCTCGATTACAGGAGCACCACAACATGTGTTACAGGAGCACATCGATACTTGTTACAGGAGCACATCGATACTTGTTACAGGAGCACCTTGACACATTTCAACTTCAGGATAATTGAACAAAGGTACTGTGATACTCAGTTGACTGTTAACTGATTTTAACTGGAGTCATTCCAGTGAGCATGATTATTGTTGTGTTATTGTTGTTCAGTATTAGAAACACCAAACTATCAAACCGTTTGTGACACAAAGGTGATAACTCTAGGTTTCAGACCAACAGAAATCATTGGATGCAATACAAACTGGTATATTACCGTGAATTTGGAAAATGTTTGATTCTGATTTGTCCGAGGTTCACCTTGAAATGAAACAGATGGTTTTATGTCTGCATGACAGTAGAACATAAGTTTAATGAAATTTGATTTTTCTCAGTAATTGTTAGCTGGCGTTTTGAAATGTATGACCAATTCTGGGCATCTTCCAATGGCAAAGGAGTTAGCTGACTGTGAAAGTCATATTTCCTCACATGCCGAAACTTGGCTGGAATTTTGGCTGAGCAAACAAATCGATGCATGGGACGAGTCAAAATCACCATCAGTTTTGCAAACTGCCACACAGATTTCGGATAATTACTGATTTTGCAGAATATCTCAACTGTCAGCTGAATGTTGACAGACGTTACCAAAATCTTTTCATATTTTTAATCAAAATGTTCAAATGATCTAATGCACTTTGAAAGGTTTTAAATACCGGAAGTGTGTTTTAATGAGCGTTTAGTATTCATTACCAAAGTGGATGCCACAAACATCTCGACAGCTAGCTTTGCCGTTTGTACCTGCCCAGAAAAAGATTCAAACACTTTGTTAATATGCATATAATGATGCTACCATTTTGTGTATTGTTTCTTTACACTGAAATCTCCAGAAGTTGCAGGTTAATCAATCAGGTAATATGTTTTGACATGTCCAATGTGCAGCCCAGTGTTGCTGCCATGTTAGGATTTTGCCACATTTTGAAAACATGTTTGTTCATACCCTTGTTGCCAAATGGCAGTTACAAAGTAACAGGTCTTGCACATACAGTGGGAGCAAGAAGTGCAACCTGCACACCCTCTGTTGAAATGGACTAGTCTGCTTGTGGAAACTCAAGAGTTCACATGGAAAGTCAAAGCATTTCTGAAACATGAGCGTTTGAATAGTTATATATCAGAATTTTGTAGCATAATACTGGTGGGAAAATATCCTTTCATTAATATGATGAAGAACATCTTCTTTAGCAAAGTTAGTACATATACAAATGTGGTTTGTTTGTCCAAACAAATTTTTGTGCAGACATTTTTAATATATCATGATAGATTTAGGGTTTTGTGCAACCCGTAAATGTGCATATAATGTATGAACAAAGTGGACATCAAAAACCCATTTCCATTCCGAGTAGCGGAGAAAGTTGAAAGTCAGAACACTCTGAATAAAACTTCTATAAAGGAGTATCATAATGGTTTGATCTAGCTTAAAGTGTTTTAATTTCCATTAAAAAGTCCATTTCTCTAATAAGTCCAACCAATGCAGCATCATCAGCAAATTTAACAATATAGGTCGTGTCAGTTTTACATCTACAGTCATTTGTATAGAGTATGAACAATATGGGTGAAATAACGGATTTACACAAACTGTGGTCTGTTGACCAGAAAAGAATTGACACATCTAATCAAATTTGAATTGACATTCATGTCTGAGAATTTCTTCAATAGTACATGAGGTTGAATGGTGTTAAATGCCGAGCTGAAGTAAATAAATAATATCCTTACATATGAACCATAATTTTCTAATGCTAATAAATGCTGTTCAAAAGTGTAATTGTTGCATCTATTCCTCTGCTAGATCTGTGTGCAATTGTAATGGATCTAATAGTGGATTTGTTTGATATGACAATACACTTTTAATCAAACATTCTAAACATTTCATGGCAATTGAAGTCAAGGCAACAGGTGTAAAGTCATTATTATCCAATGGTTTTGCTTTTTAGGAACTGAGACAATCTTAGCAGGCCTTTAGGTACCATCGCTATTAGTAAACTGTCATGAATTGTCTCACCTGCTAATTTCAACGAGTTTGCAGCAGTCTCTGCTTTAATCACATAATCTGTAATGCACTCAGTTTCCATCTTCAATGAGGTAAGTTCTGTGTACAGTGAAGTCACACATGGTTTTCCACTCCCCAAATAGTGTTCTCTCAGAATCTGCAATGCTTTTCTCCCTTCGTCCTTCGTCTCCTTCATTACAAGGCCTAGGCTTCTGTCATCTAAGCACTGTATGAATTCCACAAAAGCATCAGCATTCTTGCTAGGAAAGTGGTTATTTGACAAATGTTCAGACGGTAATATTGCATTGTACACCTTGTGTAACCGCATGTGCCCAAGAAATTTTACTTCCCTGTAATACGTACTTCGCTTCATCTCTGTCGAACATTCAACGTTGTCTGGGACCATAACCTGTTGACATCTTGACTCATGTACAGCAGAGGCATCCAGTTAAGTTAAACCTTTTAAAGTGGGACCAACAAAGCACATGTAAAGTCACATCCGCTAAAAGTCAAAAGGGAGTTAATATATTTCTATTTTTGAATACCACTAAACGAATAAATAGAAACCTTACTGATGAGCACATAAAATATCTGCTGAATACCCATAACTGCAGTTTACACTCTCACATCACACCAAAGGATTGGAACAGTTTGTGTACTCATTGAATTTGGAAATATCTTTTGGAATATGACAGCCAATTGTTCTTTGCATTCGTTCGGTAAAATTTCACACAAATTATCTGGACTACAAGCTTTACGTATGATGACTCCGGAAAATGAATTGATGACATCATCAATAGAAATATTTATATCATCACCTGGAGGAAGAGAGTCTAAAAGAAATTTTCTTTCTCCTGTGAAGTCTGCAGAATCCAATCTTGAATAAAAAGTATTTAATTCATTAGAGAAGGAGAAGTCATCATTACATTCAATTTCTTGAGGCTTTTTCACAGAACCCATCATAGTTTTAGTCCACTCCATACTCTGCGTATGTTAGATTTGTTTTCCATTTTGGATTTATAATCATCTTTATACTTTCTTGTCAAACAAGCAATTTCCTTTTGAATTTCCTGAAATTTAACTTTATCACTTTCACGAAAAGCCCTCTTCTTTGAATTTAACACAGACTTAAATTGCTGTGTTATCGAGGGCTTATTATTGGGACAGACTTTTGTGGTTTTAGTAAGTACAATGCTTTCCACACAACGATTTATGTAGTCAGTAACAACATCTGTCAACTCATTCAAATCATTACAAGTGTTTTCAAATACATCCAAGATTGTATAATCAAAACATCCCCTGAGAGAGACTAAACACTCACGTGTCCAAGATTTAACATGCCTTACAATATGTTTTTCAGTCTTAGGTTTTCGTCTTTAGAAGGAACAAGATAATTAGCATTGTGATCAGACGTACCCAATGGGGCTTTAGTATAATTTTTTATAATATTTATAAGCATCCTTCACATTGCCATAGCATCAGTCGATGGTTTTACTAGCCCTACTGGGTCACTTAACATACTGGTGGTATCCAAGATATTTTTATGGATAAACTTCTTTTTAATTTCCCTCACGACATTTCGAGACCATTCCAGGTCCCTTCATCAGGTGAACTGACAGTTAGGACTATGACGTTGTCACTATGACGTCATAACTAAGTTATGACGTCACAATGCAAGTGACATCACAGTACACTAGGGAGAGTACAGTATAGTGAGGTTGAAGTGTTAATTACATAATGATGAAAATTCATGCTAGATGAAAGACATCATACTGCTGGTACTTAGCAATACCTGCTTTAGATCACGTGAATTAAATTCTCCAAGTATGATCTTTGGTGCATATGGTGAAAATCCATCAAGTTTATCGATAACTACGTCTATCGTCTCTGCAGCTGATTTCACATTCACAGCTGCTCCTGGAATGAGGGTGCCCGGCACTACGGTCAGTGAGGGTGGTGGAAAACACCTCCCCCTATACCAGCTCCCAGACTCCTTCAACCCTTTTCCCACAGTGAGAGAGAGAGAGTTTATTGACAGTATGGGGGGGCCACTGGCCCATTATACATACAGAAGATACAGTGTATTACACCACCAAGCGCCTGCGACACATACATATACACACATACACACATATACATATATATATATACATACATATACATACATACATACATACACATATACGCATATATATATATCATTCATGCAATGACAGGAAACGTGCTTGTAGTTTGAACGCTAAGAATACATACTTTGCAAGCAATGATAACACATGGACATTTTTACTTGCTATCAACTGTTTAAATTTGTTTTCCTCAAGGGAATGTATGATAATAAGCAGGAATAATAGCTCGTCTCAGTCCATCATAAAATGGGCATACTAAACAAAAGTGATATTCTGATTCAATATTTCTAACCACACACAAAGGACATAACCTTTCTTCCCTAGCTAAACCTAGTTTCCTACCTTGTTCAATTAATAATATATGACTGGAGCAGCGGAGTGATGAAAGGGCAATACAGTAAACTTTCACTTGTAAACCACGAGAGGTAAAGTTCAAAATTTGCGTCATGTTTTATAGAACGGTACAGAGTTAGTTTATTATACTTACGGAGGGCTTGAACCAACGCGTTGTTTATCGATATCTATACATCTTTGTTTGAAACACTTAAATAAAATGGTTTATAATGCCTACATCCTGATTTATCCACACTTCCCGAAACCATAGTGAAACAATAATGATTTGACTTCTAATGCCCAACAACTCAAGCCCTTGTTTGCTAGAGACAACTGGTAAGAATATGCTTTCTTTAGAATAACATTATCTTCTTGATACAACAGTCTTACCCAAAACTTTACAATCCTTATGTAACAATTGACTTTAATTGAATGCCGTCCTAGTTCACCACGTGCCACAATATTTGGTACTGATCTATGTAAAAAATAGCATGTCCTTACAGAAACGATCATGAACTCTTTCCACATCGGGTATTGAGTGAAAACCCCACACCTCGCAACCATAGATAAGAACTGGCATGATTTTGGCATCAAATATGTGGCATAGCATATGAATTGGTAAGTTACGGTAGTGTGTTCTTTCTCTTGCCAAACTTTGATTCGTCAGTCTCCACTGTGGTTCTTTGGCCATTGACCGTCTGGAGGACAGACATGCAAACCTCTCGGCAGAACATGTTCCAGTCCACAAGGATGTGCACGGATACTGTAGAAGTTGCCAAACTAACATCCAAGCTATTATGTCCATCTTTTTGTGCGATCGTGTAATGTAAGTCAAATGACCGATGCATTGAGCAAGTAAAACCCATGAGGTGCACACTGACTGTCCACTTTGGCAAGCAGCGGGAGGGACGGGTGTCCTTCCAGTTTCTTGGAATGGGAGAAAGGATCTTGCGACAGTTTTCCAACTGTTATGTTTTCCCCCCGATCTTTTTGTTATCCAAGTTATTGGCAGTCAGATTCCTCATCCAGAGACGGCCATAGACTCCCAGCAGAGTGATGTGATATTGGATCATATCTTCCCATGCTTGAATGTGGAACCCGGTTGGACTGTGGGTTTCTAGGACAGTCTCTTCATCCTGTGAACTGAGGGTATAATTACCACTGTCACATCAGCCTCAGGAGTTTCTTCAACCTCTGTGGGCAGGAAAGTCAACTTATCATCATGTGTGATGTTCTCTCTTTGTTATAAAGAACTGTTTTCCACGAGCCATTTTGCAGCCCCATGACTTTGTGGCCTTATGTTTTTATTCACAACAGCTGACTTATAGGTAAGTCTTCTCTTAGGTTTGGCTTTAATAGTGCCATCTTGATCTTGCAGTTGTGGTAAAGTAGAAACAGTTTGTACCACATCGGAAAACACACTGACCAGATTCCCATGAACCTTGAATTGATGTCCTCGAGATGCCTGGAAGATCTTCATGAAGGGAATTCTAGGAGCCACTAGCCGTAGTTCAAGAGAATGCAGTTCTGGAGGAATATCCCAAAATGCTGTGTCATTTACTCTGGTACATTGTGGGATTTTGTTGGCTTTTATATGTTTCTTGCATGTGTTGCAGATCCACTCTTTACCCTTTTCACTGGGTACTCCTCTGAGACAGTTTTCTGCCCTAGGCAGTGAAGTTACTGATGTTGCCATGACAACGGATGTCCTATACCACAGTTGTTTTCAACATGAACAGACATATGTTGCACCTTGGGAAACTTACTTTGGAAAAGAGTTTGATGAGATCTTTTCTGTTGCTTCAATATTTTGTCCCGAGGTTTTTCTTGCTGCCTAACTTCAGCATTTTTTACCTTCTTACAGAAAAGAAACTGTGTATTGCGTTTGTCTCACATTGTTGGTGTTTCTCTGTTCTCTTCTTGCTGTCTATTGGCTGGATCCGTTCTCTTTTGTTTCCTCACTTCTGCGGTTTATTACCTGTAGATTTACCTATGGTATAATATGATCAAAATTGAAAGAAAAAGAGGGAAATTAAGAAATATTTCAGAGAACAACAGCACATGTGATCATGTGTGCCACAGAAAAAATTATAACATTCCTTTCCTTCATGATAAAACAAATTGAAATTTTCTTTAGGCAATACTGGAGTATGATCAAGAACATAATTTTAAGCAATCAGAACAGATTTGTGCAGTTATTCCTTGTACTTGCCCATGTTAGTTTCCATGGTTATTGCCATCTAAAGTCTCCTTTGATTGCAACAGTTTCCCTTCGTGGCCTCAATAGGAGAACTGTGAGGTTGATAAACAG